GTGGGGCGAGCTTCAAGCAACAGCGTGGCCTCAGCACCCACCTGCTGAAGAAGTGCCCTGTTCTGCTCAGAAAGAATAAGGGTTTGCCCAGAGCAGATTCACCCATCCCTCTGCGTCCTCTGCCCCGGGGCACCCAGGCCTCAGAGAATGCAGAAGGTGGGAAGCCCCCACCTGCACCATTAGAAGTAGAGCTGGTGCTCCTAAAAGATGCTGCTTCTGAGCTTCCTAGGGAGCCAGAAGAAATAGAGGAGACTCTGGCCACGCTCTCTGGCTCCACAGTCCCTCCTGCAGGAAACTGCTCACCCTCAGAGACCCCTGAGAAGTTCCACTTTGAGCAGGGCAAGTTTCACTGCAACTCCTGCCCGTTCCTTTGTTCTCGGCTCTCCTCCATTACGTCCCACGTGTCTGAAGGCTGCCGCGGGGGACGTGGTTGGGGAGGAAAGCGAGGGGCCTCCCAGACCCAGCCTGTTGTGTCCCCACTAAGCAGTGGGGACTCTGCTCCCCTAAGCAATGGGAATACAGAGTGCAGCCCTGGTGATGGGGACACAGCTCTGGTTCCAAAGCAAAAGGGGGCTCGCTTCTCCTGCCCCACGTGTCCCTTTAGCTGCCAGCAGGAACGGGCTCTGAGGACTCACCAGACCCGGGGATGCCCCCTTGAGCAGTCTGGAGAGCTGCACTGTGGCCTCTGCCCGTTCACTGCTCCTGCTGCTGCTGCCCTGAGGCTCCACCAGAAGCGGAGGCACCCCACCGCATCCCCAGCCCGTGGCCCCCGGCCCCCTCTTCAGTGTGGGGACTGTGGCTTCACCTGTAAGCAGAGCCGGTGCCTACAGCAGCACCGGCGCCTCAAGCACGAAGGCGTGAAGCCACATCAGTGCCCTTTCTGTGACTTTTCCACCACAAGACGGTATCGGTTGGAGGCTCACCAGTCCCGACACACAGGTGTTGGCCGCATCCCCTGCAGCTCCTGTCCTCAGACATTTGGTACCAACTCAAAACTGCGCTTGCACCGGCTGAGGGTCCATGACAAAACACCCACGCACTTCTGTCCACTCTGTGACTACAGTGGCTACCTTCGCCACGACATCACTCGCCATGTCAACAGCTGCCACCAGGGCACCCCGGCCTTTGCCTGCCCCCAGTGTGAGGCCCAGTTCAGCTCTGAGACAGCACTCAAGCAGCATGCTCTGCGCAGGCATCCTGAGCCTACACCCCCAGTCCCGGGCTCTCCCACAGAGGCCACTGAGGGCCCCCTGCACTGCTCCCGCTGTGGGTTGCTGTGCCCCAGTCCTGCCAGCCTGCGAGGACACACCCGTAAACAGCACCCCCGGCTCGAGTGTGGGGCTTGCCAGGAGGCCTTCCCCAGCCGGCCAGCACTGGATGAGCACCGGAGGCAACAGCATTTCAGCCACCGCTGCCAGCTCTGTGACTTTGCTGCCCGGGAGCGGGTGGGCCTGGTGAAGCACTACTTGGAACAGCATGAGGAGACTTCAGCAGTGGCAGCAGCCTCAGATGGGGATGGGGATGCTGGCCAGCCGCCTCTGCGCTGCCCCTTCTGTGACTTTGCCTGCCGCCATCAGCTGGTGCTAGATCACCATGTGAAAGGGCACGGGGGCACCCGGCTCTACAAGTGCACCGACTGTGCTTACAGCACCAAGAATCGGCAGAAGATCACCTGGCATAGCCGCATCCACACCGGGGAAAAGCCCTACCGCTGTCACCTCTGTCCCTATGCCTGTGCTGACCCCTCTCGCCTCAAGGTAAGGTCAGGGGCCATGGGGGCCAGGGATGGAAGGAGTGCAGGCTGTGGAGTTAAACTGCCTGGGTTCTCTAATCCTGACTCTTCCAAGTATTAGCTCTGTGACCTGGTCAAGTTCCTTAACTTCTCCAAGCCTCAGATTCCTCATCTGTAAAAAGGGGATAATACTTCATAGGATTGTTCCAAAGATAAAAGTCCATAATATATGCGAGGCATTGATAAAGGCATGCAATAGGTTGGGGATAATTTGGATGATAATAACAGCTAACATTTATTGAGCACTTACTGTATGCTGGAGAGTGTAATTTTAATCTTTTCAAAACTATGAGATATAGTTACTTTCACTGCTTCCCGCTTTACAGAATAATAAACTGAGAATTAGAGGTTAAGTCATCCAAAGACACAGTGATAAGTGGCAGAGCTGAGATAGGGCAGACCTACGGGTAGGCTAATGGGTTAGGTTTGTGTCAAAGTGACCAGGTCCTGATTGGTACTAGGAATCTGGATAGGATCAGAGCAGGGAATGGGATTATCTGCCAGCAGTTTCTCTGCCTACTTGCCCTAATTCCACATCTAATGCGTACCAAGGGGTGCACATCTTCTGGGTAGACTCTTTGTTCTTCCCCCCTCCAGTACCATATGAGGATTCACAAGGAGGAACGGAAGTATCTGTGTCCCGACTGTGGCTACAAGTGCAAGTGGGTCAACCAGCTCAAGTACCATATGACCAAGCACACAGGTGAGTCTGCATGGTTTTGACGGGCCCAAGGGCTTCCCGGGTTCCCTGGCACACCCAACCTGCCTAGTGTGGTGTCTGTCCTTATTCAGATTCAGGATGCACATCAAGTTTCACATTGAGGGTAGTGGGTAGTCTGAATAGCTTCCCAACACACTGAAGACCTGTCAGAGTCGGAAGAGGGATAAACCTGAGAGTCTGGGCCTTTGTTCTTTGCAAGAGCTTCCTGGGTGATTGTGGCACAAAGTTGAGAACCCCCCAACTCAAACATGAGTGACTAGCTGGTTCCTACACAGACATGATGGAATATCATGAGTAAGGAGGAGAGAGTGGAGGGTTCACCTGTTTTAACTTATCCCTCTTTCCTCCTGGGCATGGAGTCCATGAACTGTGGGCTCTCAGAAAAAGGTTGACGATGGTGTGCCTATGATTATTGCATATGGTCCGCCATGTAAAGGAATGACCAGATGTATTTCAAGACCCTCTGCATTTATGAATGCCACTTCTTTTGCCTCCACCTTTTCCCTTAGGCACTTTCTTTTACATCTTGAGTTGAACAAGGAGTTATATTTAAATGGATTCCCAAATTTCGAGTACCCCATGACCAAAAGGGGGTTGGAATTCCCCAAGTGGAAATCCTATCATATTTGAGTATTCATTGTTACCAGGGGGCTACTTAGGGGTCCAGTTAGTTATCAGCATCCATTGAGCACTCACTGTATACAAGGGGCTGTGTTGCGAGAAGGACATAGAAATGTCAGACAAGAATGGAACATTCCAAAGATAAGGTCATTAGTCAGCTTGCTGCTTGTGTTTTTTATGCCCCAGAATCACAGTGACTCTTATGGTCCACTGAACCTTGTTCCACCCCCTTCAACGGTGATTTGTTCCCTTGCCCTGTCTTCCAGGACTGAAGCCATACCAGTGTCCCGAGTGTGAGTACTGCACCAACCGAGCTGATGCACTGCGCGTACACCAGGAGACACGGCACCGGGAAGCACGGGCCTTCATGTGTGAGCAGTGCGGCAAGGCCTTCAAGACGCGCTTCCTGCTGCGCACCCACCTCCGCAAACACAGCGAGGCCAAACCCTATGTGTGCAATGTGTGCCACCGCGCTTTCCGCTGGGCTGCTGGCCTGCGCCATCATGCCCTCACCCACACTGACCGCCACCCCTTCTTCTGCCGCCTCTGCAGCTACAAGGCCAAGCAGAAATTCCAAGTGGTCAAGCACGTGCGCAGGCACCACCCTGACCAGGCTGACCCGAACCAGGGCGTAGGCAAAGACCCCACCACACCCACAGTGCACCTGCATGACGTGCAGTTGGAAGACCCTAACCCTCCTGCTCCTGCTGCTCCCCCAACTGGACCTGAAGGCTGAGAGCCTACCCCGCCTCCCAGACAAGAAGAGGGCGTGGCCCAGGCTGCAGACTGGAACCAGAGCCAGCCTGAGGAGCTCAGGGCCTACGCAAGGGCTGGCTTTTGGGGTGTCAGAGTGGCTGGAACCCTCTTGGGACTCTGGCTATAGTACTTTGAGGTTGACGGCTACATAAAAGAGAGACATGGACCACAAATTGCTTTCTTGTTGGGGCACGCTGTGTTTTTAACCTGTGAGTTCCTAATTTCTTCCTCATTACTCCACCAAAGTCCCTGGCCATATGATCTTGGTTTTACCCATTCCATCTTCTCTTTCCTTCTTACTAGGTCAAGTCCTATTTTCTTTCAGCATCCTCAAACAGTTGTATCTAACCGCATGTGCTGTTGTGCCTAATGCTCTATAAAGCATGTTAAACAGAATGGTTACTAGCTCATAGACTCCTGCAAGTCCCTGTCTTAACATTTCCAGGCTGTCCTCTCAATCTGCCCTGTCCCCTCAGACCTCTGCCTCTCCTTTGTCTCCTTCCACCTTCACCGAGTGACTGATTCTGAAACAGGCCCAGCTCTGCCTTCTCTCTGGCCTTGAGCCTGTCCTGGCCCTCGCCTGCTCCCTATTTCCCAGCCCCTTTGTCTGCCTCTGCAGGGAGCATTGCCACCTACTATGCATCCTCCTGGAAGTGGCTGTAATTCAGCCTCAGTCCTCAGACTGGCCTGGCAGCTACACTAGAGTGAAAGCACAGGAACAGTGTAAAAGGCGGGGACGGGGAGGCACCTCTCTAATGCAGAGGTCTGTATGAGCCTCACAGTGGCAGTGTAATCAGTTGTCTCAACTGGGACACACTGGAGAAATTAAATAGGGTACTGTTAGGAATTGTACTGGGATAATAGACATAACCCAGGACTATTCCAGGCAAACTCTTCAGGAGGGCTGGGATCGCACGGCCCTTTGTCTCCTCCTTTTGCCCTGCCCCTTAGAAGCCACACTTCTGTACCCTTCCTATGCAGCACATGCAGGGGGCCCTGGAAATCTCTGGTTTCTCCACCTTTTCCCTGACCCACCTATCTACCCAAATGTCCCCCAAACCTCATACCTCCCCTTCTTGCCCAACAATGACAGACCGTACTCAAGCCAAATTGGGGAGAGCAGCTGTATTTATACCGGTGGGACTAGGGAGGAGCAGTCCACTGGGGATTTGGGGGCTATACGGTGTTGTCTTGAGAGTCACAGTACAGTCTGGGAGTCAGGTCTCTTTCCTCAGCCTTTGCCTGGGGAGCCTTGAGGCTGGATCTGTTTTTCCAAGGCTCTGATCTTGGAGGAAGTGAGGGGTGGAGGGGATAATGCCTCTGGGTTTCTCTGCCCTCTGGATTTCCAGTTGTAGTCTGCCTTTGAGCTAGAGCTGATGGGAGAGATTAGTCCTAAATCTGGGTATGAGATTGAACCTAAAGCAAAAGGACTGAAGGAATGCAAAGGGAAAGGGCAGGAAGGATACCAAGATGGGTGAAAACGAAGGGAGGGAAGAGAAAGGTAAACAGTCAGGTCCTAGGTTTGCTTGTTAGGAAGGGGGAGATAATTTTGTGCCTAGGAACGCACAGTCCAAAGCTTGGTTTTCACCACCTCTGTTTGCTTTCTGGAGCATCCTTCCAGGTTTTGCTTACCATCCAAAGCCAGTGTAGCCACCCTTCCCATGAAGTGCCCGCCTCAGGATTCATCCCCCTCCAGCCCTTCTCGGGTGCAGATGTGCACAAAGATGGAAGCTGGCTGGAGGCTGGTGCCATCCTTGGAGAGAAGGTGTATGTGGCGGTAACCTGGAAAGGGGCAGGAGGACGGTGTTAGGAAGGCAGCCAGAGCTGGGGTGTTGGCCAGGGGGTCGAAGGACTGGCTCACCTTGTTTCATGCAAGTCCAAGGCAGGGTGTACTGACCAACAAAGTCATGTCGGGATTTCCAGTCATAATCTTTCACCACAAAACGCAGCAGTGCCAGTTCAGGCACCAGGACCCGGAAGCAGAGTGTCTGCCCCCAGTATGGATTAAAACCTGAGGGGTGGGGCGGGGGGAATGAGGGAGGGAATGGAAGAACAGACATTGTTGACTGTTTCCTTTAGGCCTATGCTGAGTTGCTTTCCCTGTGTTCTCTCACTTAATTTTCATAGCAATCAGCATTTTACAGGTGAGGAAATTGAGGCTCAGAGCCAGGTGAGCAATTTGCCCAGGTCACTGGAGCTTGTAAGTGAGGGGCCAGGATTCAGACCCAAGACATCCAAGCCCCTATTCTCTATCACATTCCACACTGCCTCCCATGGAAGCAGGGGAGAGGGATTGGTGACACAGAATGTACTTAATGGAGGGCAGGATGGTAGGGAAACAGTGGTGCTCCTCCCACCTGCCTCCAGTACCGCCCAGTCTCTCACCATTGTTCTCCACATAGTTGGTCTCTTGGTAGGTTGTATCTGGGCGGATGCCAAATATCTCCACTCTCACCAGTGGATCCACAATGGAGCCCTCTTTGGTCTTGTTCACTTTGGGGAGTTGCTGACCACTGATCACCTGCAACCAGGGCTTTGGGACATCACTAGTTCCTGCTCAGCCCAGTCCCCTCCAGCTCTCACACCCCGGGGAAGTGGGGGAGGATGAAGGAAGAGGGAGACACAGAATCTTGTGCTGTAGCTTTTGGGTTTGCAAAGCTAATCCTTCATGGGTAATATGTTTTCTTCTAGTAATCTATCTCCAATCTAAAATGCACCCAAGTAGAAATTTAAGGTTTGAAAGTAGCTGTGTTAATGACAGCAGCCCCTTGTATAGCACTTACTATGTACCAGGTATCATCATAAGCACTTTGTATTAACTACTCACAACAACGCTGTGCGGTAGGGAGTATTATTCCCCCAGTGTTACAGGTGAGAAAACTCAAAGTTAAGGAACTTGCCCAGCATTACACAACTAGGAAATGGGTTTGAACTAGGCAACTGGCTCCAAAATCCATGCTGTTCACATCAGGCTACCCTACCCGTCACGAGGAACTTTCCACCCATCACACTCCTGTCAGGCCTAGCCGCCTCTTCCCATGGCTTCTACCCTAGCTATCGCAGTTTCTTCCCAACAGTTTCTCTTTCCAGTATACCTGGATTATGAGGGTCTGGGCTTTGCAAGGGCTGATGGGCCTCTCAGGGTGGAAGGAACTCTGGGCATCACGCAGGAAGTCTGGCTTCAGCACGTAGCCACAGCCACCATTCTGGCGGAAGAGCCCATCATGGATGTCCATCTCAAGCCCCGCAGTCTGCACATTCATAGCCACTAAGAGGCCCCAGAGAAAAGGGGGGGGGGAAGGATTCACCTTGAGGCCACTAGGCCCTCTTTCAGGGAGTTAAGAAGACAGAGCGGGTATAAAAGGGCCTGCTGGCAAGACCTCCATAGATAGCATCTTTCTCAGCCCAGCACTCTTGGAGCATTCCCTGGCCCTACTGCCACCCAGGACTTAGTTTCCCACCTGTTGCTCTTCCACTCCCTCTTCCCTGTCCCTACTGCCCCTCACCCATCTGGCAGCCTGCATTCCAGAGTTCCTGGGGGTTGTAGTTGGACGAATCTGTCCTCAGGCCACTGGGATATACACGGCTTAACTGCCAGGCGTTGTGTTGCACAAACTCATTGCCTGTAAAAAGGGTGTAGATAGGGAGATGAAAGTGGGGCGGATCCTCCCACTTCCCTGGTCCCAAGGACTCTGCCACCCACTTCACTCTTCTCCCCGGCCTCTCCTGAGGCTGGCTCCAGAAAGCTTCACTGTGCCTCTCCACTCTGTTCCATCCTGCCTCCTCCCCCAGCGTTCTTCTCCCTAGAGTCTTGAGCCCATTATTCATAACTCCCGTCCCTGTGCCTGCTCTGAGGAGTTTCTTAGCTCCCCTGTCCCTCCTTAGCTTCCTTGTCCTTTCTCTTGGGACTCATCTGCCTGCCCTTCAGACCTGACCCTACTCATCCCAATTCCCTCCCTGTCCTTCCTTTTTGGTCCTGACCAGCCTCTTTGATGAGGCTCTTGGCTTTCGTTTCAGAAAAAGATGATATCTCATAGAAGCGGTAGTGCTCCCTCGAATGAGTGAAGCTGTGGAATGAGACAGACTTCAAGTACACAACCAGGGCAGAGAGAGATGGACACAAGCTGGGCTTGAATTTCTGGAAAAGGAGAAAGTAGAGAGGAAGATAGAATTGAACACTCAGCAGTCTGAGAGGGAAGAAGCCAATGGCCAAGATCTAAATTACCCCACCCAACCTAAGCCTCTGCCCACTGCCTCCCCACTGCTTTCTCCATCCTGCCTCACCTGCTTGGGAAAGAGAAGGACCCCAGGCTTGGAAATAGGAGCCTGGACCATAACCTCACAACAGGGAGGCGGACAAAACAGCGGGCACATCACAACCTAGGGATGGGAATGGGAATAAAGGCAGTCTGTGTATATTGATGGGATCAGCCTCAGCCTCTGGGCTTGAAGGGTCTGCTCTATGTTCCTTTCTGAGTTTTTAATTTATTGTTATTTTTAAACAGAGAGGTGTCATCCTCCCTACCTCTTATCTTTTAAAACAAATTAATTTGGGGTCAAAATGTACATGAACCCAGACAGATATGTCAAGGTATGCAAATAGTCATGATAGTCACACCTAGAAGGATGTGAGGGTCCCAGAGCAACATCGTTAGATTTGTCTCCTAAATTCCCATTTCCATCCCTAGACATGGCAGCTGGTTAGACACCACAGCACCAGAGAGAACAAAATAAACTAAAAGTCAGTCAGCTGAGCCAAGCAAGTGCACAAGAGAGAGAAATGCAGACTTCACACCAGGATCTTGGCGGTCCCACCGACAGCAGCCCTTCCGCACAGGGAGATGGACCACTTTGCCAGCCTTCTCAGAGCCCTCCCCTTCCCCAGCTCTTCCTGCTCCTCCTCTTTGGCTATTTCTGGCCCCTCCTCAGCCTCACCTTTTCCTCTCAAGAAGCTTTCTCTAACTAAGCCCACTTTAGCTGAGGTCACAGGAGTCATTCCAGTAAGCCCTTCTTCCCCAATATCATAATACTGCACCCACACACCCCCATCAGTGGTTTTCAAACTGGCCTTTAAGGTGACTGACAAGTAGTACAAAGATGTCTCAGGAGTCACCCAGGGGACCCAGAGAGAGCCAAATGGGTGCTTCAAGTAGGATGGTTCTGCATTTATCTATTTTGTATACTGAGCTTCCATGTAAGATTTCATTAAAAAAAGATTTCATGGCGCAAGGAAGCTGGAAAGCACTGCAATATATCTATATATGGCAATATATAGTGATGTCATGTATGCATTCTTACGCCTCTTTCATTGAGGGCAAGGGGCATTTTGCTCCTTGACCTTCCACCCTGCCTGACTTCAGTCTCTTCACATGTGAGCATGTGCTACAGACTGACCAAATGCCAGAGCAGAAAGACCACACTCCTGGCCTACCTTCTCCTTCTTTTTGTCTTTACTGCGAGGGCTCAACTTCTGGGACTCAGACTCAAACTGGGCCTCCAGCTCCGGCTCATCCTCCTGCTCCCCCTCCAGTTCAGGCTCTAGCTCTTCCTCCTCTTCCTCTTCCTCCAGATCCTCCTCAAGTGTCCTTAATTTCTTCCCCTTCACCAGGACCTTCCTCCGAAGCTCCTAGGGGACAAATGAAGGAGCCTGTCTACCTGTCGGCTCTGGGACCCTCCTGGGGATTATGCAGGTCCCACTGCTCTCACAGGGTCACCTCAAAGGCAAAGGAAGGAAGTGAGTGCTGAGAAGTTCCTACAGGAAGGCTGCTGGATACATACAGTAAAGATCCCCTATTGTTAAACAGACTTGTAACATCTCTGTTCGTACGGGAAAAAATCAGTGGGGACCCTACCTCACATCTGACACATAAAGATTCCTCATAGATTAAAGATTTACATGTAAATATAAAGAACATAAGAGTATTAGAACAAAAGGGAGGATCTTTTTGAATAATTTTAAGTGAGAAAGCCTTTAGAAACATGAAATGAACACTTGGAAGACAAAAATATGTGGCAGGTTGGACTACATAAAGCTTAAAAACATTCTAAGGCAGAAGATGCTAAAAGACAAGAAAAAATAGACTGCAAAAAATATTTTTCAAAGCGTTAATATCTTTAACATTTAAAAAATTGTTATACATCAATAAATATTATAAACCCCAATAAAAGTGGGTAAATAATATCAATTCAAAAGAAGAAAACACAGACCTTCCCTTTTAAAAAACTTGACTTTTTTTTCATCTTGCCATTATGAATCATCTCACTATTTGAGTTACTTGTGGTCATTCTCTTAGACTGTTGGTTGGAATGCAATTTGGTATTTTTCCCAGAGGGCAACTTGGTAATAATAACCAAAATGTCAACATGCTAACTCTTCAACACAGCAATTTTGCTTCTAGGAATCCATCTCGAAGAAAGAGTGAACGGGCAAAGCTGTATCTACAAGTCAAACATTATAAACAACCTAAATGTTTACCATTTACTGGTTATTTTTACCATCTACTGGTTGAATAAATTATGGTCCATAACATGAAATGGAATACCATAGAGCTGTTAAAAAGGAAACGGGCCAGCCCGGTGGCGCAGCGGTTAAGGGTGCACATTCCGCTTCGGTGGCCTGGGCTTCACCAATTCGGATCCCGGGTCCGGATATGGCACCACTTGGCAAGCCATGCTGTGGTAGGCATCCACATATAAAGTAGAGGAAGATGGATCAGGGGAAAGGTGGGGTGGGGGGTGGGCACAAAGGGTGAAGTGGTGCACCTACAACATGACTGACAAACATTAATGTACAATTGAAATTTCACAAGATTGTAACCTATCAATAACTCAGTAAGAAAATAATAATAATAAAGTAGAGGAAGATGGGCACGGATGTTAGCTCAGGGCCAGTCTTCCTCAGCAAAAAGAGGAGGATTGGTGGCAGATGTTAACTCGGCTAATCTTCCTCAAAAAAAAAAAAGGAAACAAATTATACATGAAAAGACATCCATGATATATATTATATGTGACATATAAAGGATGATGTCATTCACATTTTTAAAAATGTGAATATATATACACATATATGTTTACATGAGCATTTAAAAAATCTATTGATAGCTGTTATGGGAGAGGTTGAAATTATGGTGGGGGGACTTCCCTTTCTCTATATTGTTCGTATAGTCTACAACAATTACGAACTATCACGAAAAAAATTAAGAAATTTTCATTGGGAAAAGAAATATAAAGTAAATAATTGATTTAAAATTTAGAGAACTATATCAGCGTGCTCCACTTTGGCGACCCAGATTCGGTTCTTGGGTGTGGAACCACACCACTTGTCTGTCAGTAGCCATGTTGTGGCAGCGGCTCACACAGAAGAACCAGAAGAACTTACAACCATACACAATTGTGTACAGAGGCTGGGGGTTGGTGGGGGAGGAAGAAAAAAGGAGGAAGATTGGCAATAGATGTTATTAGCTCAGGGCAAATCTTCCCCTGCCCAAAAAGAAGAAAAAGCTTTAAAAAAAAAATTTAAAGAACTATAAATAGAATTTTGTGTTCAATTATATATTTTTTATTTTCTTATTTTATAATAAACCTAACACCTGCTGCCAATCCTCCCCTCTTTGCTGAGGAAGACTGGCCCTGAGCTAACATACGTGCCCATCTTCCTCTACTTTATATATGGGACGCCTACCACAGCATGGCTTCCCAAGCAGTGCCATGTCTGCACCCAGGATCCAAACCAGCAAACCTCGGGCCGTCAAAGCAGAATGTGCGAACTTAACCACTGTGCCACCAGGCCGGCCCCTAATTATACATTTTTTAAATTAAAGTCTCCAAGGATACGAAAGAGCAAGATGGTCCATCTAAGGGTGAGAAGAAGGGAACAAGAGGGGCATGGAGGAAGGGAGCCAAGGTGGGGGACATGGAAGCCGCAGTAGAGCCTGGGCTGGGAAACAGGGTCCCTACCTCAGGTGAGGGCAGCTGAGTGGGCAGCAGTCCATCCAAGGTGGTTCTCAGCAGCAGCTCCCCCAGGATCTCGGTCAGGTGCTGTACCATGATCTGCTGCTGCTCCCAGCTGCAGTGGTTCTCCAGGGACAAGATGACTGGATAGTCTGATGTCTGATGGAGGAGAGGGGGCGCTGGAGCCAGGGTTCTAAAGCCTGGAACCTTGCTTCTCCAGGCCCTTCTTGTTACTCAATGGGTAGCCTGACTGCTAAATTCCTCCAACTCCATTCCAGGCTTCAAATAGGTCTTGCTAGGACTGGGACCTACCCCACATCTCAAAGTCACTCTTGGGACCCCAAATCTCAGACCCATGCCAGATCTGACTCAGGTCCCTCTGGGATTTTTGAGTTTTCAGGCTCAGAGAGGGAAGGCCAGGCCAGTCCCCCAGTTATATGTTCATGTTACACTCTCGGGCTTTCATCTCCAGATTCCTATTGTCCCCCAGCCACTCCCACCACTTTCTCTGTTTCCTTATCCACCCTCTCCCAGATGGATGACAGAAGTTGTTAAAAGTAATAGTTACTAATCTCTAGCAATTACCTTTATGATTACTAATTACTATTAACACATCTAACACTTCTTCATAATAATCTCTTAATATTTGCCTGATGCTGCACAGTTAAAATCCCTTTTACATATATGCCATTTGACATAACCTCCCCTGCGTCCCTCCGCCCTCCCCAGACCCAGAGCCAGGCACTCTTCCCTCAGACCCTCTTGCCTCACCAGTATTCCCATCCTGGGGCTCCCACCTGGAAGGCATACTGTGCTACAGTGGCCACGACATCTTTGAACAGGATGCGGGAGGTCAGGGTGTGTCCATGATAAACAATAGGTTCCCCGCTAGGTCCATCCCATATATCCACCTCCACGCAGCGGCAACCCCGCTTCAGGGCCCTGCAAGAACCCCAGCACCCCAGGGACAGGAGGGATCAAGGTGTGATCTTTCACCTAGGGACCCTCTCCCCACTCTGGAGGGAATAGTGCTCCCCAGCACTTATCAGTCAAGACCCCTTCAAGCTACATCTCCAAGGACCCTTCTGTGTCCACTGGGACACTGCTGTAGCTCACACTGGTCTCCCCCCGACCCCCACCCCACCCAACTCACAGTCTCTCCTTAGCAAGCCATCACATACTGCCTCGTGATGCTTTTGGCATTCCAGTTGTATATTGTTAGACAACACCTGAATTATTCAAACTCTCAGGAAACTTACACTTTATTTTCTCCTAGGGCAGAAACCTTATGCTCCACTCATCTTTGTATCCCTTGAAGCTACTAGATCAGTTGCTGGCACTACAAAGATTTCTTGACTATTCTATCTAATCCATGATTAATCACAATAAAAACAGGTACCATTTATTAGCTACTAACATATGGATTATCTCATTTAATCCTGACAACAACGCAGAAAGAATAGGCACTGCTATCATCCCTATTTCATAGATAGGGAAACTGAGGCATAGAGAGGTTAAATACTTAGCCCCCCCAGTACCAAGTGAGGGTGCTAGGATTTGATTTCAAATGGTCTGATTCCAGAACCTATGTTTTTAACTCCTATGCTCTACTGCCTTCTATTTAACATTTAGTTTATTTATTTGTTCAAAATAAATCTGTCAGGACCTCCGAGTTCCAAGAGAGTTTCGTAGCCTCTGAAAGAGAGAGAAGCTCCATTTACCAGTGGGTTTCAATGTAACTCCTGGCCACTCTTCAGTATCTCCTCCAAGTTTCTCAGGCATCCAGGGATCCTCAGCCCCAAACCCACCACACCATCTTTTCAATCCCTATTATCCACTGACAGCGCCCCCCAATTTCCCATAGGTGTTCCCTTCTCATGAGCTAGACCCCTTCTCCCCTCCTCCTCACTGCACCGTATATATCCCTCGACGCTGCTCTGGCCACAAAGCTGATCCCCCACTAGGTAGGTGTTGTGAGAGGAGTTGATGTAGTAGTGGCTCAGGGGTTGAGTCATATCCTGGTAGATGGGGCGGCAGGTCGGGTTGAAGATGTCTCCATCCTTTGAGCAGAGGTAGCTGAGGAAGCCGTCCATACTCAGCACGTGCCACAGTTTGCCTGGGGTGTGGAGTAGAGGACCCTAGAGTGAGAAGCTCTGAGTGGGAGCACCCCAGCACACCTGCAGCCCATCCTCCACCCCACCCCTCCCAAGAGTCCTGCCTTTCAGACGGTCTCCACTCCCAGCCTCCAGATCCCAAACTTGCCCCACCCTCAATCATCCTTGCCCTCAGAGAACGTTAAAGCTACAAGGGGAATCATCAGGATCATTCTAGTCCAGTGCTGTCCAATAGAACTTTCTACAGTGATGGAAATGTTCTATTCTGTGCTGTCCAATACGGTAGCCTCTAGACATGCATGGCTCCTGAGCACTTGCAATGTGGCTGTGTGACTGAGGAACTGAATTCTAAATTCTGATTTTAGTTAATTTAAATTTAAAAAGTCACGTGGAGCTCATGGTTACCACAATGGACAGCAGAGTATAATTCAGTCCAAGGGGCTAAGTTTATAGATGGAGAAACTGAGGCCCAGAGAGAATCAAACAAAGACTTGTGACACAACCAAGGTACCTGTGTTTTCTTCCCTGGGCTACCTAGCTGCTGCCAACTATGATCTGAGGGTTTCTTTCTCACATCAATTCCCATACGGTGTTTTGAGGAGTGTTTGTCCAATATGCCCTTCAACTACACTCTCTCTGAGGGCAGGGCCCTGTCACTTCTTCCATAGCCCTCACCCATCTCAGCACAGGCTTCATATAATAACAACAACGATGACTCACAGTTATTGAGCACTTGCTCTAAGCCAAGCACGTTACAGGCAGCATCTCTCTTAATGTTCTCACCAGCACAAGATAGATATAATATAATCTGCCCTGAGAGGTTAGGTAACTTATGCCAGGTCACACAACTAGTAAGTGAAGGAGCTGGGATTTGACCCCAGACAGCCAGGTGTCAGAGCCACATCCTACACCACTGTGCTGTGCAACCTCACTGAGGGTAACACTGCCGCAGTGGGGTTCCCTTGGTAGGTGGAACACCTTGATTCTCATGCCCTGCTTCCTCCCTCCAGGTTTGGCAAGGCCTGGAGGTGGTGGAGAATGGTGGGAAGTTGGGCAGGAAGTTTCATTCTTGACAGTAATAACTCAAATTGCTAGGGTAAGTCCACAGTTGCAAGATACTTCTCATGTGCATTATTTCATCTGATCACAAATTATTTTACAAATGAGGAAATTGAGTCTTAGGTAGGTTAAGCAACTTGCCCAAAGTTACAGAGTAAGAAGCAGAGCGGGGATTTGAGCCCAGATCTCCTGACTGACACGACACTCTGCAGCCAGAGTACAGTACCTGATTGTTGAGTGCAAGAAGAGGGAGCACCAAGAGGAGGGAGAGGTAGAATAAATTTAACTGATGTATATTGGATCCTGCACTGGGAATGGAAGATCCTATTTCTCAACCCTCCGACATTTCTATTTAGTTTTTTGAAATGATTGCTTTACAGCTTCCTTTCTTCTCTGAGCACTCACGTGAATCTGGAATCAGGACTTTCAACACTTTCTGTTTGACTCTAAGTTCCATGAAGGCAGTGTCCTCGTCTGACCTACAACTGTATCTCTGGTGCCTAGCATAGGTCCTGGCACATTACAGGTACCCTGTAAGCATTAGCTGAAGTAGTGAGTGAATGAATGAGTGAAAGGGAGTGGGAGCTGAGACCTAGGAAACCTGGGTCACTTGTCTAGCTCTCATCTCATCTCATCTGTAATCCTCATTCTCAAGAGAGGCACCAGGTAAGAGTCAGATGACCTGGGTTTGAATCTCAATTTCCCCTCTCATTAGCTGTTGGCTTTGAGGAAGTCATTTCATCTTTCTAAACCTCACTTTTCCTTTTTGGCACAGCTGACAATAATAGAACCCACTTCAATGGGCCTTTGGAAGGATTAGAAGAGAAAAGACATGTAGCAATATTAGCACGTTAAGGGGTACTTAGCAAAGGCCTGATAAAGACTATTGCTTTTGAGTTACAAGGTAGTAGTGTGGACTAAATGAAGTAAGGGATGTGAAAGTACCTTGTAAACCATTTATTATTAATAAAGTAAATTCCTGGAGGGAATGGGGGGCAGGAAGGTATCTACTGAAGGGGTAAGGGGAACAGTCTGAGGGCACAGAGGGTGTATTGTAGCTGTGCTTGTTCAAAGCTGAATGACTGGCCTCCTCCTCATCCCCCTCAGCCAAAGACTGACTAGCTTCTTGGCTTAGGGGCTTAAAGACTCAAGAACAACTTGGAGGGTTTGGAGAAAGCCCAGGAAAGGGCAGAGAGCCAGCATTGAAAGAGACAGCAGACAGGAACCATGAAGGGAACTAGAGGAAAAAGAATCATATGCACTAGAGGAGAAGAGCCAAAGCAAGAGGACCAAGGATTTTCCATTTCCACTGAGGACAATGGCTGATACTGGGAAGAAATTCCTGAAAGTGAAGGATGTAAAACATGAGCATGGTAGAGGAAAGGGGATTTATGGAATGTTCTTCCTGAGAGATCTAGCATTTACAGAAGAGACTCTTGTCCTATCCGGGCAGGAAATGGCTGCTCTCCATCCAAAGGAGTGGGTGAATGAGATGAAGATGACTGGCCAGGGGTCCGGGGTAGGGGTGGACTCAGTCTTCCCTGAGTCAGCAGAAGCCTGCTTGTCTCTGGACCTTTCTAATCATGGTCCCCCTCCCCATGCCCATGTCTGGTGCCTCTCCACCCTGCTCCTCTTACCGCTCTCTGAAGGCTCATAGCGGTCGATGAGTTCCAGAGCAAGGTCAGAAGCATGGTCTCCTTCTTTCTGCTCCTCTCGGAGGAAATCCACAAATTCCAGCAGGGTCAGCTTCTGCCCATCAGCTGAAAAGTTTTCAAAGATTTCCTGCACCTCAGGACGCTTAGTCAATGCCTTATAGAACTGGACAAATTCTTCTCCCTCCAGAGTCCCAGACTGGGACGTGTCTGCTGTCTGCAAGAGAGGGTATAGGGGAGAGTGGATGAACCCTTTAGCAGCAAACTTTATGGGTTTGACTTGTCCAATCATACTGACAGATGGATCCAAACATGCTTCCAGAAAACTCCCACAGAACTCCTGCCATTTAGAGTTCACAGAAGAAACCACTTCAATAAGTAAAAAGCAAAATTTCAGCCATACCATTTGCTGCTAGAGAAAAATTTCAACTAGGAAGAATTAAATGCTCCCAAAGCTCCCTAAAACATCAGAAGATCCCTTCTCCTATTTACTCACATTCCAGTTGGAGTTTTCTTTTCCTATGTTTTTTTTTTTTCACTGAGGAAGATTAGCCCTGAGCTAACATCATGCCAACCTCCCTTCGCTTTACATGTGGGTTGCCCCTACAGCATAGCTGACGAGTGGTGTAGGTCCACACCCGGTATCCAAACTGGTGAACCCGGGCTGCTGAAGCGGAGTGCACTGAACTTAACCACTATGACATGGGGCCAGACCCCCAGCTGGAGTTTTCCATTGTACTGGGCACCTGTGAAATTCTGGCCATGGACAGAGAGGTCCTTGAGGTCTGATGTAATAACATATTTTTTACATCTTGTAAGATTGTGAATCATCTTTCCCACAAGACAGAAGAGTAACAATGATATCCTACACTTCCCATTGAGCCTGGCATTGTGCTAAGTCCCATGGGAGAGATTCAACAAATGAGTGTTGCTGGGTAGGGTCAGAGTAATTCTGGCCAAATGAGAATGTGGCCTTGGCTGGCTTCTGCACATCCTTCCCCAAAAGACTCACCTGGAAAAGCTGGAAGGCATATTCTTGGTCCATTTCCACATTCATCAGGCGCAGTAACCGCTGGACTTCTTGGAAGGTCATCCGACCATCCTGGTTTTTGTCTCCACGCTGGAACCAGTCACTCAGCCATCCAGGACTGAGTCAAGGTAAAAGCACTGTGTGTGTGTTTGTGTGTGCAGATGTGTGTGCATGTTCATCCATTGACATCTCTCCCCTACTTTTGCTACCAGTCTCTCCCCCATGCCAATTCATTTTCCATGTGAGCTTCCAGAATAATCTCCCGAAAGCACCAATCTACCTTGTTCCTGCATGGCTCAGGTGCCTGCAGAAACCTCCCTGTTGCCTGAAGAAAGAAGCCCAAACTCCTTAACATAGAAGTTAAAATCCCCTTTGTCGCTGTGATCTGCTCCCAACCCAGCCTTGTCAGCACATCTCGGTCCTCCTGTACTTTAGCCGGACTCATCACTCCCTGCTCTCTGACGTCCCACTCCCTCTTCTGCTCTTCAATTTCCTATCTCTGGGCCTTCACTCACGCTGTTCCCTCAGGTGAGGGTGCCTTTCCCTCCTCCTCTCTTTATGTTCAAATTCTACTCATTTTCAAGGCTCAACTCAGATGCTACTTCCTCCCTGAAGCTTTCTCAGAACCCTCTCAACAAGAATTAAATACTTCTCCTTCCCTCGAATGCCCACCAATAACCTAAGTACCATAACACTTGGTTATAAATCCATGGTACTTAGATTACTTACACAATTCCATCCTCTCCACTGACTAAAGCAGTATCTGAGTCTCACTAATCTTTGTACCCTTAAATCCTGGCATAGTGCCTGATACATTCTGCTTAATAGATGGTGAATGAATGAATGAACTGGTGTACAAGGTGAGTACGATCTAGGTAACTTGACGTCAGTTGACACCACTAAGCCTTCTAAGGCGCTGCTTCCCACTCCTATGTAGTTAACACCACTGGGATCTTCTGTTCAGCTCTCAGGATCAGCACCTTGTTTGGTCCTTTGTCTCATACTGTCCCTTCCCCCAAACCTGATTCAAGCCCAAACTCTGCCTGGCTATGTCTTTGCCACCTCAAGCTTCCGTTCCTCTCTCAGTATCCTCAACCTCACATTGGCCTGAGCTGCCCCTGTCTACCCCATCTGGACTCTTGGGCCTCCCTAGCCCTGCCCCGCCTCCCACCTGTCCCTAGCCCTGCAGCATCTGGCTCCTTCAGTGACCCCCAGTCCCCACTCTGACTCCATCCTGTTGATACTGGTCCTGCCACTCCTGTTGGTCCATGCTGGTGACAAAGTCCACCAACAGCTGGAGCCCCTGCATCCAGATCCGGGCCTCGTCAACACTGTTGGCCACCAGGTCCAGGTTGGAGCGGCGGCCATGGAAGACGACAGTGAAGCCTTGCTCCAGGGGGAACTCCTCTGCCAGGCTGCGCAGTAACTCAGACTCATGGCCCTCACGCACTGTCTCCACGTCAGAGATTGAGACTGCCAGAGAAGAAGCAAGTGGGGGCACTGAGAAAGAGAGTCTGCCAAATCGCAGGGGCTTAGGGTCAAGGATCAGTACTCCCTTTTTCTCTGTAAAGCCATAGGGAGGAGGAACCCCACCTTCTTCAGGCTGAAACCCCAAAAACCTTAGTACAGAGAGACGTAGACTCCTGGGATTCAGGATTCCACGTGAGTCATCGCTGTTTTCATAGGCAGCATGGCAAGGGGCCTGTACTGGGAGTGGAAAGATCTGGCTACCAGCCACAGCTGGCAGTGTGACACCAACCAAAATGACTTAACCCCTCAGTGTCCTCATCTTAAATAAAGGATGGTCCCTTCCATGGCCAGTCCACATGGTGATCACATGAGGACCAGTGGGGCTGATGCATGGAAACACACTTGCAGGTCAGAAGCAGTTATACCAAAGCATGAGGTGTGCCCAAGTTCAATTCTCCCATTCTAGGTTTGAGGACATCCTCTTTCCAGATGTCTAAGAGGGAGCCAGAGAAATTCTTCCACCCTCTTTCCTCGGCTGTGGGTGGTATGGATCGTGAGCTCTGATTATGCCTCTAAAGCACTCTCTTAGATGTGTCCCAAGATCACATTTTTACAGGGATTATAAAGTGTTTGACCAATAGGATGTACACTATTATGATGCATTTATGATATTAAAAAATACTCCTCATTATGGCTAACATTTATTAAATGCATCAGTGTTTCAGGTCCAATGCTAGGTGCTTTATACATGAACTTATTGAGTTTCTGTAACCTACTAGGCAGGTACTGTTGAGTCCCCATTTTACAGATGAGGAAACAGAAGCTTAGTCTAAGTATCTTGTCCAAAGCCACTCAGCTAGAAAGTGGCAAGCCAGGGCTTTCATCCAGGCAGTCTGATGCCTGACATCATGCTCTTATTATAATAAGAAAAACAAGACACGACCTATGAGTTATTGAGCCTTATTATATGCCAGGACTCTGCTAAGCCCTTTACATGCAGCAACTAATTTAATCCTGATAACAGCCTTTAGAGGCAAGTACTGTTATAATTTCCATTTTACAGGCTCAGACATAGACACAAGTGGGATGGCACAAGGGCACATCGTAGGACCCTGGTCCCTCCCCTGCTCTCAGGCTGCTGGGCTCCTCAGGGTGCTATCCATCCACGTGCCCACCCGTAGCTATCCACATCACTCACAGCTGGGCTTGGCACTGCCTCCAGCCTGTCGGGCATGCCAGACTGTCATGCCATCGTCCTGAAGCCTGAAGTATCTCAGTTTCTTCCAGTTTTTGGACCTCACCTTGCGCATCGACATGCCTTTCTGCATCAGCAGGAGGTCTTGATTGACAGGCAGCCCTGGGCCAGAAGAAGCAGGGGCTGGGTAGCTTGTGGGGAGGGTGGAGGGCCCAGGAGGAGCTCATGAACAGGGGTCCAGCCTCCTCCCTGTCCCTGGGCTGTCTCCCCAAGCCCTCTTCTCCTGCAGTGGTACTCACGGCCTTGCAGCAGGAACGCCATGACCCACTGCTCCACCAGCTGCTGCTAGAGTAACCTAAAGGAGCCAGGAGGAGCAAAAGGCTTTGGGTTAATCTTGGTGGTCTTAGAATAACAGATCAAGGGAGGAAGAAAAGGAAACCAGTGTTTCCTGACTGCTCACGGTGCGTCAGGCACTTCATCTGCAGAGTCTGTAGCTCTTTTTACTTCTGAGTTCGGTAGCTCCGAGGCTTAGAGAGGCTAAGAAAGCTACCTCAAGTCATATAGGAATTCAGAATTTAAAGCCAAGTGTGTCTGATTCGAGAGCATCTGCTGTTTCCCATAGCCATCTCCTGACAGGGCTAAACTAGGGCTTTCTGACAAATACTCCCTTCCTCCCCAGTATCCCAAATCTACTAGGTAACCTTGTGCCACACTTTTCAGCTCCTCGTTATTAGGGACCACCATCTTGCTGGCTGCCCCCTTTCAGAATGTGGGATCTCTTTGCATCCTAGCCTTCTCTTCTCCAGGTGGAATCATCCCAGCTTCTCTATTCTGGGGGCCCTCTCCATGTGCCCACGTAGGTGGTCCAGCTCCTGCAGGGCTAGGGCAGAGCGTTTCTTTTGTTTCTTCTACAACACGTAGTTCTCTACTTAGCTAAATAAGCCGTCTTCTTCTACCTTCACATGGTAAAGCATATTTTCTACTCCTGTTCATAACAGTGATTCTTACAGTTTTAATGGACCAGATAAATTACATCGTTTTCAAGTTTTCTCTACCTACTAAAAAAGAGTACCTCCGTTAAGATATATGCTAATTTAGAACCTGGATAAGTTGTCCCAGTAGGTAAGAACAAACTTCCCTCGAAAAGAACTAAAAGATGTGATATGTGGCCACTTTGATTCTAGCTCTGCCCCTATGAGAAACACTCAACTCTTGACCAAATCATTCTGAAACTGGCAAAGCTTATGAAACATAAAACTCTAGGCTTTTGTATAAGCAAAGGATCTAGACTTGAATTGAAATGTTGCATTTTTTAATTGACAAGTTTAAAATTTTGACAATGGTGAACATGTAAAAAACTAAAGGAATTTCTAAAGCGATCATTCAGTTAGCACTCCATTAAAACATCATGCAGCTAACGCCATATATTTTACAAAAGAAAAATCAGAAGTCCAGAAATGTGATGTGACTCGTCCGAGGTCACATAGCATATTAGTGCTCTATCTCTCTTTAGTGGGAAGAGCCTATAAAGTCATCCAGGGGTGACTAAGTCTTTAGGAAGAATATGGAGGTCACTGAGAATAAGCTTCCCTGACTGCGGGACCTAGAGAAGACTTTCTAAAGGAGTAGCAATGTGCTGGTGCCCAGAGGGACAGGGGAAGGTCGGAGAATCAGCCTGTAACCCAAGTGGGAAAGATAACTCAAGGCAGCTCTCAGGAGAAAGAGAACACTGGGCAATTTCAAGAAAAGGTTTTGCTGGCTGAGGCTGAATACGTGAGCCTGGATGAGACCAGAAGAACCTCTGAATGGAAGAAGGGACTTAGAGTGCTCCCTGAAAGACAGAACAGCATCTCTGCTTTTCTGGGCAGAGATGCACAGTTTGGAATCTGAAGCTTGCCAAAGCTACGAAGACTGAAGTAGGAAGTAACAGGCCCCTCTTAAATGCCTCAGGTCCTCAGACTCTAGGTGGGGGTGGAGTTAGCCTGGGAATGAAGTCTAATCCCCTTGTCAACCTCCTGCCTTATCTCCTCTCTGAACTTCAGCTCCCATGTCTGAGGCACAGGGGCTCTGGGATGGGGTGGTCCTTGGTCCTGGGAGAAGACAGAATTACCTTCCCTTGTGCCTGTCTCCAGGAGCCTCACAATGATGTCCTGAAACATGGGAAGCTTGAGAACACAGCCTAAGTGCCAGAACACCCCTATTTGGGAGCCTACCTCCTCTCAAGCCAGCCTTAAAAAATTACTTCATCCGTTTTTGTTAAACTCTTCCAACCCCAGGGCTTGGCATGCTCTTCCAGTCCTGCTCCTATTCCTGAAACATGATTTTAAACCTGTATCCAGGTGACGTGTGGCCATAAGAGGGCCAATTTCGACTCAGGGAGCCACAGAAAGTCAGAGCTGGACTTCATTTTATAGAGAAGGGGCTGGAGGACTAGAAGGATTCTCTGAACTGCTAGAATCACCTCATGAATTAAGTGGCAGAAGTGGAACTAGAACCAAGGTCTCCATATGACCAACTCAGAGATCTTAGCAAGACCCTGCCCTTAGAAAGGGCTTTCTTTAGGAAGCAGGTTAAAGCAGAGCTAAGAATCAACGAGAGACATGGATGTGTGGTCTCTCTCCTCCATCGTTTCTGTCCCCACTATATCCCATTCAATAGCCTTTCTTTTCTTTCTTCCTATTTTCTCTCCTTGCCCATCCTCTACCTGACTCTCCCTTTTCTGTCTCCCCAGCTCACTCTTCTCTCTCCTGATCCTCTCCCTGCCTCCCTGTTTGCTCACTTAAGGCAGCCTCTCTTTGCTCTCCTCTTCTCATCCTTCTCCTCATCCCTTCTCCCCATCACCTCTTCCTCTTTTGTTTCTCCTTCAGTCCCCAACAGCTCTGGTTCTCGTCCCCTGTGAGGATTTGAGACTGTGGTCCAGGAGGGAGGCCACTTCGGTTCAGACACTCAGCAGCATGTCCCTCTGCTCAGCCTCACTTTCCCCTGTATCCTAGGAGACTGACCAAACAAACTGCCCAGAGAATGGGACTTAGAACCTAGGTGTTCTAGGTCTTGCTGTTTCCTCTGGTGTCTGAAGGTAGGATGAGAAGGATGATCGCAGCTGATAACAAGTGCAGTTAGGAGAGAAGGGACAAAGGATTTGGGAGTGGGAGCAAGAGCAAGAGGCAAGGAGCAGAGGATGAAGACTGAGAGTCAGAGAGATTGGGTCTTAACTGTCCACCCCTAGAAATGTATGTGGAGATCCTTGAGGATATGGATAATTACCTCTACAATACAGATAAGAAAACAGAGACACAAAATAAGGTGGGAAGTGGCCAGGGCTGCCGAGCAAGATTTGGTCCTCAACTTCCAGGTGGGTTGTGTCTAGATGGACTTCGGCAGAGTTGCCAGTGGTGCCAATGGCATTACAGGGGAATTCAGGGCGTCTCAGGTCCTTCTGAGGGCAGGCAGGAAGAAAATCGTTTTGTCTACTCTCTTGCTTCTGAGCAGGATTATGCCTGACCTACTTCGTTTAAAGAGGACAGAATGGCTCTGGTCACAGGTCACAGCCCTCAGAATGTCAGAGCTCGAAGACTCTACGTGTCTAATCCAGAGGTTCCTGGCTATATCAATATCCCCTGAAGAGTGTCTTAAAATAGAGATTCCTTAGGCCCGCTCAAAATCTACCAGATCAGCATTTCCAAGGATGGAGCTCAGAAATATTTATCTTTACCAAGCACCCCTGACACACAGGCAAGCCTGGGAAACCCTGAACTCCCTCCTGTCACAGTTCTGGAAGTTGTAGTCCAACTACCTAAAGCAAGGCTCCTATTCTCTCCCTTCTCTTACTAGCGTGGGGCTCACTTCTGAGTGGCAGCCTTGGGCAGCTACGAGGACCCCATATAAAGAAGTGACTGACACAGCAGGGGGAAAGCCATAAGTCAAAGAGGCCAAGCTAGAGAGAACCAGGAGGTTGGAGTCTTGTAGACCTGTTTGGGCAAAGGAGTCCAGGGTACAATTTAATCAGAGTGGGTAAACCTACGGAGGGCAGAGTTAGTGACTCAGGCAAGGAAGAGCTTGGAGCAGAGGCTGGTCAGAGCCTCCAGGCCCTTACCGTGGGCAGGGTAGCAGTCCTGTGTCTGTGAGCTCCGCGATGCTATCCACTGTGGGACGAGGAAACCCTGCCAGCTTCCTTTTCTCTTTTGCTCCTCTTGCAATCCTTCGCTTCCTTCCCTCTTCTACCGCAGTTTGCTGCTGTGACTGGCAGTTACAGCCAGAGGGAAGGAGTAGGGTGGGGAGAGGTGTGAGCTCTCCTCAGTCCAGCCCCTCCAATTCTTAAAGGCCCAGGACATTGGTCAGTGTGAGGGAATAGTGGGGGTGGGGTGGATAGAAAAGGATTAAGGGGAGGGATTGACGGGCACTACATCTCCAGGGAGGAGGAACCTGGCTGCCCTTCATCTGGATGCCAGCCCTCACTGACCCCAATCCCACAGTAGCTCTCAAAATGAAACCCAAGGAGGGTCTGACTTGCAGTGCTCCATGAATCACTACTTTTCATTCTGGTCCATTTCTCTCAGCACGTTATACGGCTGTCTTTGCCCTTATTTCATCTGGCTCCTTTCCATGGTGTCTATTTCTATCAGCCTGCTTCTGTGTCTCTGCATCCTGCCTTGCAGGGCACTCAGTCTAGTTCTGTGGCACAGGGAGAGGAAAAAAGAAATAGGATGGGAAAGGAGGAAGATGAGGAGAAAGAGAGGAGAGGAATGATCTTGGAGTGCAGAGGGACGGGTGAGTATCTATGCACTCGCTAGATTTAGCACTTGCTAAATATTGAAGGAATGCATACATGAATGTATGAAACAATCCACTTATTCTTCCTTTACATTCATTCATTCTACGAGCAGTTGTTCAGCACCTCAATGTGCAAGGACATATATGCGTGTTCATAAAGGTCTTTGTAGAGATGAAGCAGTCTCACGGAGTGTAAGGATCGACGGCAAAAGAGGAGCACAAGACTGGAAAGACACCCAACTGGGGAAAGGAAGGTAATGAGCTTCTTACAAGGGGGAATAAATGGGCAGCTGAAACAAAAACCAAGATTGAGGAAAGGGGACCAAGTTAGGAGAGGAATAGGGGATTGTAAAGGGCTTTATTATAGCCCCATCCTTCACAGTGAGAAATTGAGGTCCAGGGAAGTATAGGCAATATCCCCGACTCCCGTGTCAGCAGCAGGGACAACCAGTCCCTTGCACTCTCCCAAGCACTGTGAGCTGGGACCTGCTTTTGCTCTGTCTGGGGGAAGACTGCAGGGTATGGCTCTTTCTGGACCAGTGGGTGATAGTGAGGGCATAGGGCACAGCCCTGTGTTTGGACCTCTGTGGGATCCTTTCTAGTGAGGTGTGTCTGAATCACAGGCAAAGAGGGAAGTAACTGTATGAAATGATGTGGTTTTGCCATGGCTCCCCCCAACACCCTTCAACTGCCTAACATTCTACCATTAGTGAATATTTATAGCTAAACCTTTAGTCTCATTAAAATAAAATCCTCCTAAGTGATTACCATAAATGTCAGGATACTGCGTACTTTGGGGAGGAGGGAGGAGTTGTGATGGGGTGGGGCACAGCTGGCTTCTGGAATAGCTGGCCAAGTTCTATTTCTGGTCCTGGGCACTAACATGGGTCTTCACTTTATAATAACTTCTTAAGATACAGCTTTCCTTTCTGTAGTTTTCTATATCTGTTATATTTTACAATATATTTTACAAATTTTTCTGATAATTTCTGAAGCCCTATTAGCCTTTCATAATTTACACCTAGGTTCAGTTTACCATACTCTACTGAGAGTAGGTTTTGATAAAGGAGGAGGAATACGTGGGGAGTGGAGGCATAAGAAGGAGGCCATTCCTAGCGAACAGAAGACTAGAGGGCACCAAAATTTAAGCCGCTGATTTCAGATTTATTTAATGGAGGCCCTGTCTCACACGTGTATCTTGCTCTCCCATTTCTACTTCCCCAAGACCTCATGTCCTTATTTTTCCATGCTTCCCCTTCACATTCCTCACTCCTCTTCTACACTCCAGGACTATCTACGGCTTGCCTCTTTCTGAGTCACTATTTGCCTTCCCTAATTGCTGCCCAACCTCCTTCCCCTCTGGGTGTTCTGTGAGAGGTACTGTCTCTCATCCTGGGTTTTCTGAAAGAGCCCAGATCTCAAGTATTTGGGTTCAGCATTCTCATAAGCACACCAGTTCTCCCTAGATTGTGTGTTCGGATTTTCAGGGCAGGCCCTTGGAGACCGTCACAAGGTTAGTGTGGCTCCAAAGTGTGACTTAGAAGACATGCCCGCTGCAGGATGCTGTTTAGATCCAGGAAGGGAGCAGACAGACAGGGCCCTGGGCACAGGAACTGTCCATCTGGTTTAGTTGTTCCTATTTCCATAATGCTCCTAGCCCTTCCCCCACTGTTGTCTATTATTAACAGATCCAGAAACCTGATCAGGGCAGCAGCAGCAGAGGGACTTTCTGGGAACCATGCCCAGAAAAAGGCCTAGAAGCCCTAAATTGAAATGAAGGGGCAGCTGGCAGAGGGAGACCTAAACACTGTAGTCTCATGCTGCCAGCCAGGCCAGCCGAGACCTTCCTCCTGACACCCAGGGGAGATGCTCTGAACATCTCTGCTTCTCAGAATAGTCAGGGTAGGGATTCAGAGAACTGTTCCTTAGCCCACCCAGCCGAACTACTCAAACTTCTGAAATAAAGCCCATCTTCTCGGTGGGCAAAAAGGCAACTCAAAATATTGAATTCCATCTAAAAAATAATTCTTATGAGACCACCTGTAGAACTAAAAGCCAGGATATAAAACTTCAAAAGGCCAGAAAAAGTACAGCTACTCCTCCATTCCAGGAAAATTAAAAAACAAACAAAAAAGTGGAGGGAGAACAAGGAGGTATAAAATAAACCAGAGAACATGATGACAGAAATTAGGATAAAAAATACAAATGGTGTAATATTTCCTAGTTAGAGACAAAGCTCTCAGAAAAGGTCATAAAACAAAATACAAGTATATGCTAGCCATGAGTCATGTCTGCAAAAAGGTGTTACTAAGAGATTGAAAGTTGGGGCCAGCCCATAGTGGCATAGTGGTTAAGTTCATGCACTTCACTTTGGTGGCCCAGGGTTCGGGGGTTCAGATCCTGGGTGTGGACCTACACACTACTCATCAAGCCATGCTGTGGCAGCATCCCACATACAAAATAGAGGAATATTCTATGTGCCAATCTTCCTAAAGCAAAAAGAAGAAGATTGGTAACAGATGTTAGCTCAGGGCCAATCTTCCTCACCAAAACAAAAAACATTGAAAAGTTAAGGAGGAAATCTGGGAGTGGAAAATTCCAATTTTGTCCTTATTCAAGATTGCCTTGGCTGTTTTGGCACTTTGCATTTCCATACAAACTTTAGAATCAGCCTGGCAATTTTCACGAAAATAAACCTGTGGGGATTTTTAGTTAACCAGTGGATCAATCTGAGAGAATTAGGATCCTTACAATACTGTTTTCCAATCCATGGAGATGATCTCTCTCTCCATTTTTGTAGGTGTTTAATTTCTTTCAAGAACGTTTCATTATTTTCAATGTAAAGTTTCTGCATATCTTTTGATACATCTATTTCGAGTTATTTGATTTCTTATGCTATTATAAATAGCTATTATTTTTGAAATCTTTTGAATATAGCTATTATAAAAAGCTATATTTTTGAAAATTTTTTTGTTGTATTTAGAAAAATGTAGTTGATTTCTTTTTGTATATTGACTGTGTATTCTGTGACCTTGCTAAATTCACTTAATTCTTAAGAGTTTGTAGGGTTTTTTGGATTATCTACGTATACTATCATGTGTTGTCAGCATTTTTCCTTTATAATCCTGTCTTTTATTTTCTTGGCTAATCGCATTGGATGGGACCAAGATAATGAAATGGATATGTGACAGTCGGCATCCTTATCTCATTTCTCATCTCATGGAGAATGATTTCAATATTTTATCAAGAGGTTTACTGTAGGGTCTTTGTTGATACTTTTTATTAGATTAAGGATGCACCCTTCTGTTCTTGGTTTCCAACTTTTTTTTTTTAAAGATTGGCACCTGAGCTAACATCTGTTGCTAATCTTTTTTCTTTTTTCTTCTTCTTCTTCCCAAAGCCCCCAAGTACATAGTTGTCCCCAAAGCCCCCAAGTACATAGTTGTATATTCTAGTTGTAGGTCCCGCTGGTTGTGCTATGTGGGATGCTGCCTCAGCATGGCCTGATGAGTAGTGCCATGTCTGTGCTCAGGATCTGAACTGGTGAAACCCTGGGCTCCCAAAGCGAAGCATGTGAACCCAACCATTTGGCAACGGGGCCAGTCCCTCAACTTTTTTTTTTTTTAATCATGAATAGGTATTGAATTTTACAGCATTCTTTCCTGCATCTACCTAGATGATTGTGTGATTTTCCTTATATGTTGATTGTAGTGAATTGCACTGATTAGTTTTGAAGTACTGAATCAATCTTATTTTTGCAGTAAACTCAAATTAGATACGATGCATTATTAATTTTTTTGCCAAGGAAGATTCGCCCTGAGCTAACACCTGTGCCAATCTTCCTCTATTTTGTATGCAGCTGGCCACCACAACATGGCTGCCAATGAGCAGTGTAGGTCCACACCTGGGAACCAAACCCTGGCCACTGAAGCAGAGCACACCAAACTTAACCAATAGGCCATGGGGCCAGCCCTCCATTATCATTTTTGCATGTTGCTAGATTTGCTTATTTCGTCTGGGAATTTTACACCTACATTCACAGGAGTTTGGCCCCAGGTTTCTTTTCTTGTAATAGCCTTTATGGGTTTTGGTGTCTGGGTTATACCACTTCAGAAGTGAATTGGGATCTGTTCCTTTTCTAAAACTCTGGAAGTTTATTAAAGATTGATGAAAGATACGAGTGATGTCCCTTACTCCATTTCTAACACTGTTGACACACACTCTTTTTTTTCTGATCAGTCTACTAAGGTTTATCAAATTTTTTTTCGGTTTTCAAAGGAATGACTTTTGGCTTCAACGATTTTTTTTACATTTGTTTTCTATTTCATTGACTTTTGCTTGCTTGCTTTTTTTTTTTTTTGTATTCTTCTTTCTGTTTTTTGAATTTGCTTTTCTTTCCCAGTTTCTTGACATGAAAATTTAGATTACTGACTTCAGCCTTATGTTTTGTAATGTGAATTTAAGGTAATGCATATTTCTCTTTTATGTATGGCTTTACCTCTATACCACAGGTTTTGATATGGCACACCTGCATTATCATTCAATTAAAATTTATTTCTAATTTCCTGTGATTTCTTTTGTAACCCATGAGTTATTTAGAACTGCATGGCTTGTTTCTTAAACAGGGACTTTCCAGTTTTCTTTTTCCTAGCTTAATCCCACTGTGTTATAGAACATTCTATTCTAATTTTTTGAAATGTTTTGAGGCTTGCTTGCTGGTCCAGCTGTGATCACCTTTGGTAAATGCTTCCCGTGTGGTTAAAAAGAATATGCATACTGTTGGTTTAGGGCACAGTGTTCTATGTCAGTTACGCTAGGTTTGTTAATTGTGCTGTTCAACTTATCTGTTACATCTGCTTCTGAAATAAATGTATTAGAACATTTTTTAAAAAATTAAATTCCACAACATTCAGAAAAGAAATCTCATTTCATTCTATGGTTTCCTAGTCCAAATATTTTCCTTAGGCTTTTGGATAGCAATAGCTTTGTGTATCTCCCTGCCTTTCCCAGCTTTTGAGCCACAGGAATAGTGAGAAAGGGAGTCATATACACAGAAGGATAGTAAGGAAGGCAGGCTCTGAAGGCTACCAATGTCTGTCCTTGCCCTGCTCCACCAGTGAAACAGTTACATGCTCTCTAAAGCCTTGCAAAAAAGAAGCTGGAAGCAGAGCTTGGCTCTGTCCCACTGAGAGCCCAGAATAGGCCTGGAAACAGCTCTGGAGAGGTGCTCCTCTAAGTCTTAAACCCCAGAAGGAAACGAATATTAAAGTCTGTGATAAAATGTTTCAAATATTACGTCTTCACTTACAGAAGTCTCTCCTATACCAGTACTAAGGTCTGGCCACTAGAGCCAGCAGTGAGATTCTGTCCCAGGAATAGACACCTTACCAGATAAAGGGCACCATCCCAGCCTCCCAAACAGCTTTTATACATCAGCAAGACTCTCCCAAAGGACCTATCCACAAAGGAACCATCTTGGCAGGGCAGTGTGCTTGTGTAGGTGGACAAAGGGTAGAGGCACTGTAGATAAGGATCACCTGACCAAAGTGCCTAGATAGCTCTATCTTGACAAAATAAACTCTCCGGTTTAAAGGAAAAATTATTTTTATAAAAACAGAAGCATGTTTTATTTCAATCCTGTTGAGGGAGTAAGAGGGATGAAAACACAAAATGAGGGGAGGGGTCTCTTTATAAACACACACATCAGGATCAACTACAAGGAGTAACACCCATTTCCACCCCTCCCCACAACTCCTATGTGGGGTTCAAGGCTAGCTGAGAACAGATGGAACAAGAATTAAGACACTATTGGCACAGTAACATGGCCAATGCACCGAAAAGATGGAGAGAGAATTTCCCAGGGAGCAAGGCCCTGGGCCTCAGCTGCTTCCCCAGTGGAGGGAGAATGAGAAAACTTTGGCTCAGCAGGAAGGTGGTTGGCAAAAATCAGGGTTACCCTAGCTGGACTCTGCAGATCACAAACTGTGGGCAGAAGGGAGTCAAGAGTCTATCCGGTCCATGCTGTTCTCTGCCTTCTCCAAGACCTCTTCTCTTCAGGTCTGAGATCACTGAGAGCTGGCCTGCTTCTCCTCTTCATTTTGGAAGGCAGGGGAATAAGTGCTTATTCCACCCTTCCTACATCTAGGCTACCTAATTACTACTCTCTGGGCTCTAAAGAGACAGAAGCCAACTAACAAGGCCGGCTCCCTTTATGAAAGTCGGCTTGAAAGAGCCCTTGTGTTGGCAAAACTGCCTCAGCAAAGGTTTTTCCGAGCCTGCCCCTCCCCAAACTTGTTCAGAGACGCCTTCATTTGTGTGAGATGTGGACATGAAATACTGCGTCTCTCTCTAGAGTTGCATTAACAATCTCATCTTTGACTGGAGATAGGGATGAGAGAGAGAACAGGTGTCAGCAGGGGGAAGGACTGGGTGGAAGCAAGGCAGTTTACATCGGGTTACAGATTCAACGCTCTGGACTGGGAACAGAGTCATCCAAAGCTCCAGAGAAGGAAGGGGGATTCTCTGACACCATTTGAACAAGTGGAAAATATTTTAGTGGCAATCCTGTAATTCCCATAGACGAAGAGGGAATGTGTAAAAAAAAAAGGTGGGGGGAGACTAGTGAGCAAGCAGAGTCCAGCCCTCCATCTTACATCTGAGTAAAATTAACTCCTTCAGCTAATACTGCTTCAAGTACAATCATGAAGACAGATGGAGCTGCAGAAATTCACACTAAAGCAAAGAATAGGATCAAGTAGCCTACCATCTTAATCCCAGGCACCTCCCTTTTAAAAGTCATCCAGGAAATATCTTTGAGAATTTGAATAGAAGGTGAGGTCACCACCGCCTCTCCTCCCCCAGTGCAATACCCTTCCAGGACAGCCTGATGAATTAAGACGTCTGTTTTAAGTTTAATAGGAGGGAAGTGAAAAAGGGAAAAGCACTGAGATTTGGAAAAGCTAGCAGCTAAAGCCAGAAACAAGGTTAAGGTCCTTGTGGCATCCAGACCTGGGGGCAGAAGAATGGGAAAGGGAGAGGAAATAGGCGGTGGCTTCCTGCTGTCCTTTGGCTTTTTATCTCTCCTCTATCTCCCATTCCTCCCAAAGCTCATGCAGCTATTGGCCTGCTGGAGGGGATGTAATGCCCAGACCAACTTTTTATTGAGCTTATGCAGCTAACAGACTTGTAAACAGTGCCAATTGACAAAGTTTTGCTGAATATTACAGCTTGTGTCCACTAAATACACCTCTCTCTGAGATTAAAAACAAAAAACCAAAGTAAACAAATACTGAGAGAGAGAACGAAGAGACACATCTTGAGTCTTCCAGGAAGGCAAAATAGAAACGCCACATGGCTTGGTCCCAGGCGTTCAGCATGCCTAGAGTGCTGCTGCTGTCACCACTGTCCCCCCTGCCAGTGGCTAGGTGAGGTGGGCGAGAAGGGTCATCTTGGGCATGCTGCAAATACAGCATTTGCTGGTGTTGACACCCTCCTGGGGCTGTGGTGGCGGACTGCTTTGTCAGGAGCCCGTTCCCTGGGAGTAACAGAGGGAGCCCAGGTCCTCAAGGCAGCCCGAGATGGCAGCTCATACACCTCAGCGGGGGCACCTCGCCCCTCTTCTCCAGTGCAGTTCAGCATTGAGGTTGTCTATTTCCGGTCAGCATTAAACCTGAGCTGTTTTCCTCGCAGGTTTCCCCTCCCTTCCCCAACTTGGGGGAGTAGTGGGAGGGGACAGGGGAGGATCACTGAGGGGGCAGGGGGATACCCCGGGGATCGGTGACCTGGCCCTCTTGCAGGTTCTTCACCAGTTGTGCAAGCCAGCGTTTCGTGGTGGTGTCATCTTTTAGCACCTGGGCGAAGGTCGTGTCCTTCAGCTGGTCAGGGAGGCACTGCCTGAGCGCTTCACGTGCCCTACATCAGAAACAAACCAACCAACCAGGGAGACCAACACATAAACTCACATTTGGGGGACAGTGAAGAGCCCCTTCCTTAGACATAAACATACAGAATCCTGGGAATCTACAGCTCTGTCGAGTTACTTTAAGAAGCCACTAAAATTCCTTAAAGCTTATATTAGGCATAGGCTCAGTTTCAGAACAATGCCCCAGTGTAGAATTTTATGACAAGGCAAAATGGAATAAAGTGGTGAAATAGTTTACTTCATTCAAATTGCTTTCTGACTTATTACAGTAAATATTGTCAACATACTCATGTTAGAAATACATGGATTATAGTAAATGAGACATTTCCTAAATCAGTACATTAACAGGGGATATGACCTACCTCATAGTATGATAAATTAAAGAACTTTAATTCTAAACTAATATAAATTGTCTTTCCAAAAACTGCCTCAGTTTTAAAGTTAAAATCTCTAATAAGAGTTGAGCAGTAAAAACAAAACTATGGCAGCAGCATTATCAGATAAACTTTTAAATATTTCATTTTCTTTAAAAGATGACCGTCAGAAAGTCAAATCTGAAAACCTCAAAAAGGTACATGTTAACTATTTATAAGGCTGTTTTAAACAAAGCTATGGCTTCTGTACTCAGACTAGTTTCTTTGTACAAGTAGTATTTTAAATAAACTATTTTAAAACTTTGGTGAAAACAGGAACCACTGAAGAACAGGACAAAATGGCTGAAGAAACAGCTAGGGTTTGAATAACTTCAGTGGGAGGAGGCTGAATTCACATTAAATCATGTTATCCCCGTTCCTAGGAACACAGAAATCATCCCATTATGTGGTTTAGCAGAATCTGAGCAAGTGGCTTTTAGTTTGAATTATGAATTTACAGTGCAAAAGGTCAAACATTTCTAAAATGCATTATACCTACAATGTATGATTTTTGGCAGAAAGATTACAAACAGAGGGAGATAAAATAATTAGCTCAAGGACTTTACAGGAATCGAAGAGAGAACTGGAAATATAATTCAAAAGCCCTCTGGGCTCTGTTCTTAGAGATCTTTGAAAACAGACTTCTCTTTCTGACCACCTGGAGTGGCAATAGAAAGCTCAAACCACAGGCGTAACGTATCATAAGGTTCCCTGGGAACTGTCTGGACTCTCTGGAATTTTAGAGTAGGGTACAGAGTTACAGTGGGGAGATACAACTCTGATGGATTTTTTTAATTCAGCACTTGCGATGTCAAAAGGAGTAAATCCAGTTCTGTCTCAGACAAACCACATACGGTCATATCTCTTCTCTGTCCTAAAGATATAGGAGGCATGCCATGAGATGGGGCAACCATTTGCAAGAGTATTTCTCCCAAGTCCTATAAATCCTGTAAATGTTTACCTGGGATTATCCGAGAGTCGAAGGTAACATCTCACTACATGCTTCAGCAGACGGGCGGAAGGCTCTTTGGATAGCTGCAGGACCATCTTACCCTGTTTCTCCCAAAATGGGGTGGGGTAGGAAGAAACACACAAAACACAAAATAATCCTAGTTAACACCACAGATCAGATATTGAAAGAATCATTATACAAAGTTCCAGGGTAGTTATTTCTAGCTGGAAGACTGAAGCTGCTCAGTGTCAATTGCAAAGGGACTAAGCTATGTGACGAGAAGCAGTTGCAAAGGGGGTCAATGAAAAAACTCACCAAGATCATGGCCACATGGGAGAAACGCTCATATGTTTGACAGATATAAGCCAAACCAGTGTCATCTAAGAGGATCTTCTGGAGGATGAATGTGGCAACCTGGAGTAAAACAAAATTAAGGAGTTCAAAATGTTGCTCAGACTTGTTTCCCAACTGTCCACTCTTCTCTCAGGAATAACCATGAGTCAGAAAATTAAGCAGAGACCCTTGCATTATATACAACTTATTCAAGGAGATACGCATAGTACAAAAAATTAATACTAAATATTACCATATTGAACACTTACTATGTGCCAGAATTTTTCCTAAAGGCATAACACACCTTATCTTATTTTCACAATAAACTCCCGAGGTAGGTACCATTGTTATTCTCATTTTACATAAAAGGGTAGGTTATGGGGAATTATCAGATTCTCAAAAGCAGAGAGAATTTCTGTTATTGAATACCTACTATGTGTCACGTGTAACTGCTAATCAGTAACATACTTGTCAGGTTAAGGTCCTAAGTGACAAAGCTACTAAGTCACAGAGTTGAGATCCAAACCTAGTTTGAATATAGTGTCTCCTCTTTTCCACAGGCCAAGATGATTTCAGAGATTCAGCTAGGCTTCATCTCTTCCAAATGAGGTAACTAAGGCTTTTTCTATTCTGACAAGATCTTTAAGAAATAAGATTTTTAAGCCTCCCTTCCAAAGTTGTTCCTATGGTAATAAAGAATATCCTCAAGGAGGGCAAAAGGAGTAAAGGGGTACATGTGTATGGTGATGGATGGTAACCAGATTTCTGGTGGTGAACATGATGCAGTCTATACAGAAGCCAAAATATAATGATGTATGCCTGTAATTTATATAATGTAATAAACCAATATGACCTAAAAAAAAAATACTAGTTTAATTCAAGTCAAACAATTATTATAACAATTCTCTTCCTTGGCTGCTCATTAGAACCAACTGGGGGAATTATTTATTTTATTTTACTAGGGTTTAACATTGTGGTTGGCTAAACAATGGCACCCGAAGATATCGAGGTCCTAATCACCAATCTCTGCCATATAAGCAAAAGGAGACTTTGCTGTGTAAGTGAAGGATCTTGAGGGAGACTAATTGTCCTGGATCATCTAAGTGGGCCCTAAATGTACTTGCAAGTGTCCTTATAAGAGGGCAGTGGAGGGAGATTTGACCACAGAGAAGGCAATGTGACAGAAGCAGAGAGAGATGTGAACATGCTACCCTGCTGGCTTTGAAGACAGAGGAGGTGGGGCATGAGCCCCAGAATGCAATTCTAGAAGCTGGAAAAGTCAAGGAAAAAAGGCCTCCAGAGGGAACAGCACGCTGCCGGCACCTTGGCTTCAGCTCACGGTTTCTGGCCTCCAGAACTGTGAGAGAATACATTTGTGTTGTTTTAAGCCACGAAGCTTGTGGCCATCTGCTACAGCAGCCACAGGAAACTAACACAAACATATTCACAGTAAAATGTGTGAAGCGCACAAAGTGCACTAATCTTAAGTGTATCTTGATCAATTTTTACTTGTGTACACATTTGTGAACCACAACCACATACTTCCAGCACCCCAGAAGGTTCGCTGTGCCTTATCCCAGTCAATATCCTTCCCTGAGAGGTAACTGCTATTCTGATTTATCCCCATTGATTGGTTTCGCCTGTTCTCAAATTTCTCATAATGGAATCATACAGTATGAACTCAAACGTGTCTGGCTTCTTTCACTCAATGTAACGCCTACCACGTGTTGTATATATCAGTTCATTCTTCTTAATTACTATGTTCTTTACTTTGGGACTTTATTTATCCTTTATGAATAAAAATGCTATAAACTTTCTTGTACATGTTTTGATGTACACAAGAGCTCACTTCTCCTGGGGACACCTAGGGGTGGGACTGCTGGGTCCCAGGGGAGGCTTAAGTTTACAGTGAATACTGCCAAAGAGCTCTCCAAAACAAGTTATATCATACACTTGCTGAGGGGGACTTGTAAAAAACACAAATGTCCAGATTTTACCAACCTGGAGAAAGATTCAGTGGGTCAGAGACGGGACCTGGACATCTACATTATTAAAACATTTCACAGGTGATCATGTCACACAGCCCTGATTGAGAATCTCTGCCTTACTGGCTGCCTACTACTGCAAGGCCTTAAACTTAAGTATTGTACATAAAAAGTGAACACGATCAGGTTCATGTTTAGATGGAGCAAAGGAAGAAAGACAAGCCAGGAACTGACTACTAACCATAAAAGGCAGGATGTGAGAACTATTCTAGCTGAAGCATAAAGGCCAATGGGAAACTATACACATTAAGGATGGATTAATACTAGTAAGGGGCAAGGAATGTAAATAGGGGAGGGATCATTAGACTGGGGGGGTTCCCTGAAGAGGAAGAGATGTCACAAAAGAAGAAACGGGTCTTTTTTTGCCCCAGCCAGAAGAAGCCAACTTGAAAAACCTATTCATAGGCAACAACTAATAAAAGATGACAGAGTGCAGCTGTACCCATTCCAATCCTATCCCAGAAATCCACTGAAATTAACAAAAAGAAGTAAAATTAGAGAAGAAATGAGAGAAGAAAATCATGAACATAGATCACATCTCACTTATGCTTTGTGTGTTTGAGCAAAAACTAAAGACAGAGGTCTAAATACCTCCTAACACACATATGCTAGACTGGTAGACCCAGTGGAAAAGTATTCACAGGCAAATACTTGACTTAAAAGCTGGCAGCGTCAGCTCATACCACCTCTCTTTCCATCCATTATTTTTAAACAAATAGCAATCTTGGATAGAACTGCTCCCACATGGAAACTTTTGCAGAGACAGCCACAAGAGGTAACAAGTAATAATTATCTACATTTTCAAAGAAATTGAAGAGAACATGGACTATAAAAAAGTTAAAAAAAATTCAAAGATAAAAAAATTCAAAGAGCTGAAAAGACATGAGAAGTAAGATGGCAGAGACTAGGGGAAAAAAATGGATATAATATTAAACTGCTACTGGGGGCCAGCTCCGTGGGTGAGTGGTTAAGTTTGCGCACTCCACTTTGGCAGCCTGGGGGTTTACCAGTTTGGATCCTGGGCATGGACCTATGCACCGCTCATCAAGCCATGCTGAGGCAGCATCCCACGCAGAAGAACTAGAATGACCTACAATTAGTACATTCAACTATGAACTGGGCCTTTGGGGAGAAAAAAGAGGAAGATCAGCAACAGATGTTAGCTCACGGCCAATCTTCCTCAGTAAAAAGGGAAAAAAAAAGAAACAGTCCATGCATTCTGAAAAAAAAATTATACTGCTACATATATACACGGGATATTTCTGGAAGGATACAAGAATGTGGTAACACTGGTTACCACTGGGGAGAACTGAGAGGTTGAGGTAGGAGATTTACTTTTACTTGTATATTTATTTGTACTATTTGAATTTTTTACTTTATGTATGTATTGCATATTCAGAATAAAAAATTTTCAAATCATGACATCTGCTTACACCCAACTCAGTAATAAATATTCATTGAATTAAAAATTATTCAGTGTGACTACTTCATATTTCAGAGGTAGAGGTTGGATACTGCTAAAAGTAGTCAGCAACATGGAAAAACAGCCTTGAGAAAAAAATCACATATAAAATAAAAATATAAAAAATGAATAGAGAGGGGAAAAAAAGATAGGTAAGAAAGATAGACAATACAGCATAACTGATGTTGCTGAAGCAAGAGGCCAGAATAAATTAAAGAGAAAACTATGAAAATTAACAAAAAATAGATACAAGGAGTATGCTCTTCCAGAAAAAGAATCTCACATAAGAGTATCAAATGAAGTTGAAAATAATTTTTAAAAAACTTATAGATACCCACACAGAAAAGGCAAATTCACTAACAAAAGGAAAAATTAGGCTGGCCCAGATTTCACTACAACATAATACCAGAAGACATCAGGGGTATGGCAACAGAGTTCTGAGAGGCAAAAATGAGATAAGAATTTTATATCTAGTCATGTTGTCATTCATTGTTGATGTGGAAAGTAGGCAGAAGCTCAAATTATGTATACATATATATATATATACATATATATATGTACACACACACACACAGTTGATTATGCATAAAAAGTGTCTGGGGCCAGCCCCAGTGGCCTAGTGGTTAAGTTCAGTACGCTCCACTTCAGTGGCCTGGGTTTGGTTCCCAGGCACAGACCTACACCACTCATCTGTTAGTGGCCATGCTGTGGTGGCAGCTCACATACAAAAAGAGGAAGATTGGTAACAGATGTTAGTTAGCTCAGGGAGAAACTTCCTCAGCAAAAAAAAAAAAAAAAAAAAAGTATGGAATAATACACACGTGGATTGAGAAGTGGATTCAGAGAAAAGAGAAAACTTCAGTGTTTAACTTGATTTTTTTCTAAAGGGTCTGGGTTTTTTAATGATCATTTTGGAACAATTTTTATTCAAAAGAGAAAAAATATTCATAAAAGTTTCAAGAAAACCTGAAGGGAGGGAGAAAACGATCCCAGGACCATAAAGAAGTAGTTTACGTGTGAATACAATATAGGATCTAAGTCAAAAGCACATACCGTTTTAGAAAGTTCACTTCCAGATTCCATAATGCGCAAACACAAAGGGATAATTTCTGTTGTCAATAAAAAGTTGATTACTTCCTGCTCATCTGTTTTCACCAGGGCCCCTAAAGAAATATGGACAAACAAAATTATTTCAGAGTCAGGGTTTCCGATTAAAACTGTTCATCCAGCTAGTTGTGGAATTTAAATAACATACAACACAAATTGTGGTTTATATGTCAGAGAATCAGAGAAAAAGAGGAAGAAAAGCATAGGCTGACTGTTATCAGTCAACACTAGAAGATCAGGTACCAAGGCTGGTCCATCATATAGTGAGCAGCAGTTTAGCCTTCTAAATCATTTTTCTATCACTCCTGGTAGATAGCCACACAATAATCTCACCAGGTATTTCCCATTTATTTTAGCTAAGAGAGGATTCTACATCAGTATTAAAGCATATTCCCAAGTAGCAAAGAACTGACGTCAGTCTGAATCCACAATGGGCATAAACAGACACTACTTTCGGGTTATTTAATTGCCCCTCTTTCTCCAAAGAGCGCAAACATTGTAGGGTATACCCAAACAAGAACTACACACACCTGGATCTAATCCTGGTTCCACAACTAGTTTACCTAAGTTTGATAAAGTTACCTTCCCTTCACAGGCCTCTGTTTATCTATAAAATAAGAGTTGGAACAAATGATTTCTAAAATTCATCCCAATTCTATCATTCTGCTGGTTTCTAAACTGACACCATGGACCAGGTGACAGATACAGTTCAGTGACACCGTCTCCATTCTGTACACAGGGAAGCAGAGGCCCGTTAAACAAATGAGTGTTCCCTGAGCTGCCCAATGTATCACTAGCTCTTATATGAAAGGTCTTGGTTAAGTGGACCTGTAATAACTAAAACCAATCACTTTAGGAGAGACTAAGGAATATCATTTGCGTTAATAATAAAATAAATAATAAAAAACCTGGCAATCTACAAATGCTACCTCTCTAAACCTGACAGCAAACAGCACATACCATAATTTACTAATATGGCCTACAGCAGATGTCAAATTACTATTTCATTTATATTTTACAAGTAGGTCTAAAATCCACTTTAATTTTTGTATAGAGTACAAGGTATGGATCGTGGTTCACTGTTTTACATATGGATATCCAATTGTTCCAGCACCATTTATTGAAAAGACTATCCTTTCTCCACTAAATTGTCTTTGCACCTTTGTCAAAAATCAATTGACCATATTTGTGTGGGTCTATTTCTGGACTTTCCATTCTGCTCCACTGATCTACAAGTCTATCTTTTCTCCAATACCACACTGTCTTAACTACTGTAGTTTTCCAGTAGGTCTGAAAATCAGGCAGTATACATCTTCCAACGTTGTCCTTCTTTTAAAAAACTTGGATATTCTAGTTGCCTTTCCAGATAAATTTTAGGATCAGCTTGTCAATTTCTATAAAAAAAAGTCCAGCTGAGATTTTGTTGGAATTGCTCTAAAACTACAGATCAGTTTGGGGAGAACTGACATCTCAACAATAATAAACCACTGATACACCACTTAACGAATATGGTATATCTCTGCATTCATTTAGGTCTCCTTTGATTTCTTTCATCATCATTCTATAGTTTTTAGCTACAGATCTTGCAAATATTTTGCATGATTTACACTCAAGACTTTCACATCTTTTGGTGCTATTATAAATGGTAGGTTTTTAAAATTTCCATTTCTAATGGTTTATTGCTAGCACATATAAAAATAGGATTGACTTTTGCATGCTAACCTTCTATCTTCCAACCTTGCTAAATTCACTAGTTCTAGTAGCTTTTTTGGGGTAGATTCTTCAAGATTTTTCTATGTAGTTAATCTTGTTGTCTGTGAATAGACAGTATTATTTTTTCTCTTGCCTTACTGCACTGGCTAGGATATCCAGGATTGAAGAGGAGTGGTGAGAATGAACATCCTTGCCTTGTTGTCATTCTTAGGTAGACAACTTCAGTTTTTCACTTTAACTATGACCTTAACCATAGGTTTTTTGTACTTTATCAGGTTGAGAAAGTTCCCCTCTATTACTACTTTGCTGGAGTTTTTATCATGAATGGATGCTGAATTATGTCAAAAGGCTTGTTTTGTTTTGTTTTGTTTTTAACCACAGAAATAATCATATGGTTTTTCTTCTTTAGTGTGTTGATATGGTCAATCAAAATGACTGATTTTTGAAAGCTGAACCAGTATGCATTCCCGGGATAAACCCCATTTGGTCATGACAATCTCTTTTATACACTGTTGGATTTGATTTGTTAGCATTTTGCTGAGAATTTCTGCATGTATGTTCAGGAGGGATACTAGCCTATAGTTTTCTTTTCTCATAATGTCTTTTTCTGGTTTTCCTATCAGAGTAATGCTGGCCTCACCAAGGGCTAAGAAACCTTCTATCTATGTTTTGGAAAAGTTTTATAGAATTGGTATTATTTCTTCTTTAAATTTTTGGTAGAATTCACCAGTGACACCCTCTGGGCCTGGAGTTTTCTGTTAGAAGGTTTTTATCTACAAAAACTATTTAACAGATGTAAGACTATTTAGCTCAGATATTTAGCTTATCTAAATATATTATCTATATCTAAATATGTTGTCTATATATCTATCTTCTCTATAAAAATAGATATTTAAGTTATCTATTTTTTCTTGAGTGTGCTTTGGCAGATTGTATTTTTCAAAGAATTTGTCCATTTCATCTAAGTTGTCAAATTTACAGGCATAGAGTTATTAGCAGTATTCCCTTATTATCCTTCAAATGTCTGTACAGTCTAACATACCTCCTTTTATTCCTGATATTTTTAATTTGTGTCTTCTCTTTTTTTCTCAGGCTGTCTGGTTAGAGATTTATTAATTTTATTCAATTTTTTCAATAAAAAATTGGGGGTGGGTGAAATGGGCAAAGGTGGTCAAATGGTACAAACTTCCAGTTATTAAGATAAATAAATTCTGGGGATGTAACATACATGGTGACTATAGTAACAATATTGTATTGCATATTTAAAAGTTGTTACGAGAGTAGATCTTAAAAATTGCCATCACAGGAAAATTTTTGTAACTATGTGTTGTGATAGATAACTAAACTTACTGTGGTAATCATTTTGCAATATATACATATATCAAATCATTACGTTGTACACCTAAAACTAATACAATGTTATATGTCAATTATATCTCAAAAAAAAAATCATCTTTTGGTTTCATTGATTTTATCTATTGTTTTTCTGTTCTCATTTTTATTGATGTCTATTCTTCATTATTTCCCTCCGTTTGCTTTGGCTTAATTTGCTCCTTTGTCTAGTTTCTTAAAGTGAAAGCTTAGATCATTGATTGAAGCCTTCTCTTTCCTTTCTAGTAGAAGCATTTTAATGCTACAAATTTCCCTCTAAGCCCTGCTTTAGTTGCATCCTACAAACTTTGATCTGTTTTTATTTTTATCCAGTTTCAAGTATTTTCTAATTTCTCTTATGTATCATTTCATTTATATTCAAACTTGTCTGATAATCTGTGAATTGTAAACAAAAAGTCTAGGCCCAAATATTCACCTTCTGCTTGTTCTCTCAACTGACTTGGAGAAAATGAGTTTCAGAAAACATAGGCAAGGGTGGACATCTGGCTTCATACTGTCCAAGTATTTTTTCAACCCCTCACTGTCACCTTTATCCTAACATCACATAAATGCATCATCTAACCACCGTAGTCAAAAAACCAACAGAAGAAGGATGATTTGAATCAGAATTAAGGCTATTAATATTTCCTTTTGGCTGAAATCACATTGTTTTAAATCCTACATGAGAAATTTTTATAGCTTAAAAGCAGAAAAGAATATATTGGGGAAAAAGTTTCTAATTAGAGTACTACTTGGCAGCAGATGTAAAAAACAGTAACACTGGGGTCGGCCTGGTGGCATAGCAGTTGAGTTTGTGTGCTCTGCTTCGGCGGCCCAGGATTCACCAGTTTAGATCTTGGGCATGGACCTACGCATCACTTATCAAGCCATGCTGTGGCAGGCATCCCAGATATAAAGTAGAGGAAGATGGGCATGAGTGTTGGCTCATGGCCAATCTTCCTCAGTAAAAGGAGGATTGGTGGTAGATGTTAGTTCAGGGCTAATCTTCCTCAAAAAAAAAAAAAAAAAAGAAATAAAACCAATAACATTCATTTGGAGTATATGAGATAACAGTTACTCCTTAGAAGCAGAATAAAATGTCTCTGAGAAATATGTCTTAGAAATACCAAACTTTTAAATTATACTTCCTGATTCACGGTTTATAATCATAGGGATGTAAACACAGGTTGAACATAAAAACACAACCTAACAAAACTAAGTTTGTATAATTAATGTTCTTAGTGTTTGGTCACCACATAAGCCAAAACTGAGAAAAAGATGTTGAGAAAAGGAAGAGTGGTTTGGGAAAGAAACCTTCTTGAACGTATTTACATTTCACAAATCCAAAGATAGTTCTTTACTACCCAGGAGTCTGAGATTTGAAATAGCTAATATATTCTTTTCTTTTCTTTTTCTTTGAGGAAGATTAGCCCTGAGCTAACATCTGCCAATCCTCCTCTTTTTTCTGAGGAAGACTGGGCATGAGCTAACATCCGTGCCCATCTTCCTCTACTTCATATGTGAGACGCCTGCCACAGCGTGGCTTGCCATGCTGTGCCATGTCCACACCTAGGATCCGAATCGGCGAACCCCAGGCCATCAAAGTGGAATGTGCGTACTTAACTGCTGCGCCACCAGGCCGGGCCCATATATTATTTTCTTAAGTAAAAAGTATTTTAGACACATCTCCCATAGTAAATATATATGAAAACAATAATTTAAGCCAATGGAAAAATTTAACTAGGTAAAATAGAAGGTAAACCCCTAGAGTTATGGGAAAACAGCTTAGAAGTGAGATAGACAAAAAAATAAAGCAACAATCTCAAATTCTTATTCCTATAATAATACTCTTTATTTGTTAACCAAGTTCTTCTTCTTTACTTTCCCTACAATTCCAGTACATGTTTCTACATACATGCTGAATTTAATCCCAAATGTTGGACCTCACAGCCTTATTAACAATATTCAGAATGGTACTTTCTAAGAGGCATCACGTTCCTGACACTCATTTATTAGCGAAAATAGACTCAACCTCAAAGACAAAAATAAACAATTGGTGAACCAAAGCCATAAAACCCAAGACAAAACACCTAAGTTAAGACCACTATTATGAATGAGGACTTCAGGCTTGCAAAATAACCCTAATAACTTACCAATAACTCCAAGACTGGTTAGCCGAAGATATTCAAAGGGACGGGTTTTGCTGACAGTGTGCAAAAAAGGGTACAAAAAAAGTGGGATGTGTGCTGCAAGAAATGCTGACCTGCAAGAAAAAAGTAATCACATTCAGAGCCCAGAGTTAATTTCTAAGGATTATGAACATTCAAATTTCCACAGTGTTAATGTTGTGAGGCCTATAACATTGCCTTACCAAGGAATCTTCAGGAAAGACTGCTACTGGTCATTAGTTTGGACCAGTGGTTCTCAACTGGGGTGATTTTGTTCCCCCCCAGGGGACATGTGGCAATGTCTGGAGATATTTTTAGTTGTCACAACTGAGGGGGTGCTAGGGGCATGCAGTGGGCAGAGGCCAGGTATGCTGCTGAACATCCTACAATGCACAGGACAGCCCCCTCCCAACACAAAGGCTTATCCAGCTCAAAATCTCAGTGGGGTCAAGGTTAAAAAACCCTAGTCTAGGCCAATCGTTAAGAGAATACATGATTTTCCCTGTAATCAGCACCAAGTACCTTAAAAACTGACAAAACATCCAATTGCAGATTTTAAAAAATAGGTCATAAAATGCAATTAAGTGCATGAGAGATTCTCCTAAATGCCATCCTTCACCTAATTTATGATTGAATCTTCACAGGTACAGTCAGACAAAACCTTATAAACCAAGACAACAAAACAAAAGCGTCATTATCAGGTTTATCTGCTATGCTTAAATGCACATTTTTCTTTTTTCGTTAGAGCATTTCAGATACACCAAGCATTCCAAAAACACCTACAGCTAGTACGTCAGCCAACTAATATGGAATCAGCCTATTACTTTATATTATTTATAAATAAGTTACACCCTTGTAGGAGAACCAACACCCCAAGTTTTTAACACTCAAAGTACTCTTGCATTTTTCTTAAGTGCTTAAAAATAATCTTCTTAGGGGCTGGCCCTGTGGCTGAGTGGTTAAGTTTGTGCACTCCGCTGCAGGCGGCCCAGTGTTTCATTGGTTCGAATCCTGGGCACGGACACGGCACTGATCATCAAACCACACTAAGGCGGCGTCCTGCATGCCACAACTAGAACGACCCACAACGAAGAATATACAACTATGTACTGGGGGGCTTTGGGGAGAAAAAGGAAAAAAAAAAAAAAAATAATAATCTTCTTAGTAACTTCTTTAAAGCTCTGAAAGGTCAGTGACAACCTAGCACTTGGATTTTATAAGGAAACTTGACAAAGAGAGGAAGGCTTTAATAAAATGACTATTAAGTGCTTTAGGGCAGAAAAGTCACAAAGTGGATTCTTGAACAGGATTTCCCTTTTCTTAGTTTGTCAGATATAGCAGGAGGCAAAAATGTCTCAACTTCCATGCCAATTCTCATCCATTACACACATTGTCTAGTAGAAACCTGTGTTAAGAAAGATTCTGAAGCCAAATCTGGGTTCAGTGGGAAAAAGAGCTGGGTTCAAATATTTACTGATATCCTACTAAATGCCATGCCCTGTGCCTCACACACGGCATAGTGATGCCTACCATGGATTCGGGTGGGAGAAGTTGCTGTATTCCTGACCTTTCCTGAGATGTGAACACCACTCCTTTAAAGTTCATTGCTATGAATGGGTAAAAAGTAAATGAGGCAATGCTATACTGTTCGGCCTTAAAAAGGAAGGAAATTCTGACATAGGCTACAGTACGGATAAACCTTAAGGATATTACGCTAAGTAAAATAAGCCAGTCACAAAAAGACAAATACTGTATGATTCCACTTATATGAGGTACTCAGAATAGTCAAATTCATAGAGACAAAAAGTAGAATGATGGTTGCCAGGGGCTGGGAGAAAGGGGAGTTATTGTTAATGGGTATAGAGTCTCAGTTTTATAAGATGAAAAGAGTAATGGAGATGGATGGTGGTGATGGCCACACATTATAAATGTATTTAATACTATTCAGGTGTATGCTTAAAAATGGTAAATTTTATCGTATGTATATTTTACCACCAAAAAAAAGTAATTACAAAAGAATATGTTAAACAACACTACACTATTACTACACTAAAACTTGCTGAATTACAGAACAGAAATTCTTCAGGGAACAAAAACATAAATAAGAATCCAAAGATCCCCACTTACACCCACACACTCTACTGCCTGCCCCTCCTCTCATCATTCAGAAAAAGTTTAAAAAACCATATTCAATAAAACTTCCCCCAACAGACTCATCTAAAGCACTTACCTGGTTTCTGGGTGTGAGGCCACACACTGCAGTAACGCCAGAGCATTGCAAACTCTGTTAGATTGGTGTGCTGTCAAGGTGGGTGGGTTGATAGATGGATAAATATTTACAATTTCCTAAAAAACAGAAACCAGCACCAGATGAACAAGGAATAACTTATTATCAAATTAATTCCTATGGTATTAAAGCAAAAAACTTAAAAAAAAAAATAAACCTCTTAATTCTATATATCCTGTAAGAACTGAACCAGCAGAGGGAGAGGAGAAATAGACAAACAATGCTCCTATCCTTTCATCACAAATACACTCAACTGAGACTATTGAGACATTTCAACACACGTCTCTAGGAAGATTTCTATGGAGGGAACTACGGTCACCCACGCTTCCTCTTATATCCCGCATCCGTTGAGGCTGTCACTTGAGGGATGTTTACATTTATAATCTCTCCTTTTTGTCAACACCTTGCCTTTAGTTACACTGATTAGACAGCTGGTCAGAAAGTGTCAGTAAATAAGCCACAGTGATTCATAAAGAAATATGAGTTTGGTCAGTAGCAACGGCAAAAATAGCAAGATTTAAGAACATGAATGCATGTGTAGGATAGGTATAAAGAGCAGTGAATATACGTACTCTCTGTCAAAAGGTAATGATTTGCTGAATACAATTCCATTTATTTTAATTATAAAACTTTTACAGAGAAAATGTTCCTGTAAGAAAGATTAGTTTCTTGGCTACATGCAGTAGGGATAGAATGCGAATCTACTTAACAGATATGAAAATTAAACTGATTATTAATAATTTTGGACAATATTTTAAAGGATGATCATTCCACTTGCTTGGTATCTTAGGACTATACCACATCAATTTTATCTCCCACCAATGACCATTCTGATCAGAAACAAATTTCAGTTATTTATTCTTTAATGTACAAGTGTACCCACCTTTAATCCTACAGCTGTTATATCTTTATCTTAACATTTTCTTTCCCCAGAATATACCCTGCAGTCCTTACACCTTACTTTCCACCTTCTCCCTCGTCATGTAGCATCGTCTTGTAGTACTCCTAAAGCTGTGTTTTTCGAAGTTTAGTTCTTAAACCACCTGCATCAGAATCACCTGGGAGCGGGGGCAGTGCTTGTTAAAAATACAGATTTTTTTAACCTCAGACTAAATAAATCAAATCTCTTGGGTAAAAGAATCTGCATTTTAACAAGCACCTCAGACTTGTCTAAAACAGATTCTCAGAAATGCTAACGTTTAAAGAATCATCCTATTAAAGTCTTCAAAATCATTTGGGCAAAGGCAGAGAGATACAAGTGTGATGAACAGGACTGAAGTGCAACTCTTGGCTACAGACCCACCTGTAAAAGTGCTGCAATAGTACCAAATGAATGCCACAGCATGGGTGCAAGGTCAGGAACAGATTCTCGCTTCTTACTCAGCTCCAGCAAAGCATTTTCTCTTGTCTCAGGACTGGACAGCTCATTAATCCACTGATAGATCTTTTCTCTATCCACTTGAGCCAGTGCAGTAGGCACGGGCTTCAAAGGAAAACAAGAAAGTAAATGTGAATTTCATTAGAGTCAAACCAATTCTTACTCTGCAGTAGTGCTTTGGAGGGAATATATTTTTCATAAATACCAGGGGGGCTTTTCTAAATATAAATGTTTGATGTAAACTAATTCAATCTATCAAAATCTAAATGCACACATTTAATAATAATTCCACATTTAGGAATTCATCCTATAGGTATACTTGGATGTTTACTATTGCACTGTTTTAAAAGCAGAAAACCTGAAATAACAAATATCTATTAACAAGGAACTGGTTAAATTAAATGTGTATGGGTACATTGTTACATGGAATACTACGTAGCCCTTTAAAAAAGAAATAGCTCTGTATGTGCTGATACTAGATAAAAAACCAAAAGCAAAATAAGGGGTGGAAAACAGCATACATACATATGCTTTCATTAATATAAACATATACTTACATATTTACATTTCTAGAAAGACACATAAATTAGCAGTAGTTACCTCCAATGTTGGAATCTATACGGGAGACTTTTCATTGTATAAAACAAAATCTTCTGCATAGTTTAAACCTTTTTTTTTTTTTTTAAACTATGTGCCTATAATGGTTTCTGAAAGGAAAAAAGTTATACCCTTCCCACCTGTTACTGGTCCTTTCCCAGTAATTCCGGCATCCCCCTTCATGAAGCAGAAAACCTACATAATCTGGAAAGTCTCCCCCTTCTAATGATTCCTACACATACTCTACCTCCACCCCTTTGAGATCACTCATTACTTACTCATGTAGGACCATATAAACAGACTCATAGAACATGCTTTCATTATCGTGCTAAAAAAATCACAACATTGGGGCTGGCCCCGTGGCCGAGTGGTTAAGTTCGCGCGCTCCGCTGCAGGCGGCCCAGTGTTTCGTTGGTTCGAATCCTGGGCGCGGACATGGCACTGCTCATCAAACCACGCTGAGGCAGCGTCCCACATGCCACAACTAGAAGGACCCACAACAAAGAATATACAACTATGTACCGGGGGGCTTTGGGGAGAAAAAGGAAAAATAAAATCTTTAAAAAAAAAAAAAATCACAACATTCCCCCCAAAATTGAGCATTTCTATAATTCTATTACATAGAATTCTATTATACTATAATTCTTCACACTTGTCAAATAGCCTTGTGACATTGATTAAATCCCTTAATTATTCTTATCTGGAAAATAAGATGGTAGACTAGAAAAATGATTACCCTTGCTATTTCTAGCTCTAAAGCCCTAATAAATTCATGATAATTTCTATCCCTATGCCCAATATTTTCTCACTAAACTCCCCCCAATCCATGAGGAATAAAAGGGTGGGTAGATAAAAAACGGTATCTACACTTGCAGACGAGATCACTAACGCTCAGAGAAATTAACTTGCACAATTCACCGAAATATGAAGTTGCATATTCCAATGCTTTCTTCAACTGTATTATACAGCTTCTCACAGTTATTTACACGTTCCCACTACACCTTAGTGTGACAGAATGATGACCTACCCATTGCACAGATGGAAAGATGAGGAACAAGGAAGACAACTGTCTTTGCTGAAGAACAGAATGAAGTCTAAGATGGACTTTGAGGTGCACTCATATTCAGTCTACCCAAGCTGAACAATAGCCTTCTAGAAATGGAAACTTTTAGCTCAATGTTTATCATTTCACTTGCTTGACAGAATGAACCACAAGGTATTCTGTTAAATGGACTAAAATACCATGCAGCTTAAGTCTTCTTTAAGTGCCTTAATCTGTTTAAAAGCTGTTTTATAACTCCCATCAGGGACACTCCTCAAGGAAACACAGACTCTTAAAGCAACAACACGATGTAGAAGGAATAGGGTAGGTTTTTTTTCCCCTCCCAACAGCAAAAGCAGTATTGTCCAAGCACTTGCCCTTTCTATGCTGCTTCAGGAAGGCCCTCAACTTAAAAGTTATTTTTGGAAATGTAATTCCCATCAGAAGATAGGGTCTGTTTATTTAGGGTATTACATCACCTTAAAAGCTCAGTGAAAACAAGGGCTAAAATTTTAGCTGTGGGTTTCCTGTCCACAGTCTCTTGGATGACTCCCAATCCAGTAACTAAAGGGGGCCTCATAGATGCTGATCCAGCAATATAGTATCCTGATTAGTCACTACTCATTCTGGTCAACTCTCCCAAAAGTCCTGTGACCCAGACACCACCATCAGTAAACTCCAACACCCCGACTAGAGCCAGTCTGTGACTTGTATCTGGCATCCCTGTACCCTATTCTGCTCTGGGGAGCCCTAGGCGAACACCAGGCTGCACCAGTAGCCACCAGTCAGCATACCACGGCTTCTGAACATCAGGCCTCATGCCCACATAAGCTGTTTCCAGAGCTGGCTTGACTCCAGCAAGGACATGGTGCCCCTGGAGTGGTGCTGGTGCTCTGGAGGGCCAACGCCAGTGCCTACTTGGGTCTCTAAGGCCATGGCCACCTGCTGCCAGCAATACTCCAACTTTTGAGGCTACTTGTGGGAGCTGCAGCCTCCAAGGGACTTTGGCTCTAAGAGATCAGGGACGTCAGGTGGGTGGTAACATGGCACTCTCAGACAATAGCTTGGAGCTGTGGGTTCTGTAGCCATTCTAGCAATGGGCAGGCAGTGAGAACAGTTTGGTACCAGAAAATACCCAGGGTACGAACCCTCCTTTTCATTATCCCTGCTAAATTTTGCCCCCAATTTAATAGCAAGAGTTAGTTTAAACTCATTGTATACCTATTTGTTATGGGATGGATATAACTATTTTTTTAAATAAAAATGGGAGGGAGTTAACATATATAACACTTACTCTGTTAGGCACTGCCTTAAATAAACACTTATCATCACCACCCTCATTTTATAGACGAGGAAACTGAGGAACAGAGAAGTTATTTAAAACTTAAGTGGTAAAGCCAGGATTTGAACCCAGGCAGTCTGGCAACAGAGTCCATACTCTTTTTTTTTTTTTTGGTGAGGGAGATTGTTCCTGAGCTAACATCTGTGCCAATCTTTCTCTCTTTTGTATGTGGGATGCTGACACAGCATGGCTCAATGAGCTGTGTATAGGTCCACACCTGGGATCTGAACCTGCAAATCCCGGGGTGTCAAAGTGGAGTACGCAAACTTACCACTATGCCACCAGGCCGGCCCCAACAGTCCATACTCTTAACTGCTTTGCCAGTGCTGCTTCTCACCTGCCTGAAAGATTAGGTCTGACCTAAAGATGACTCTAAAAACTATCCCCTATGACCTAGACAACAGAGATAGGGAATACATAAAAATCTCAAACAGAAACTAAAATGCTACTGCTGTTAGCTCAGCAGAGTCTGAAACACAATCAGCATCATGAATAATCCTTGATGTTAAGAGAAATTCTCTACTTATTGAGATTACAAGGCACTTAATACTCATCATTTTAATGGGAAAATCAGTAAACTAGTTTAGTTCCCTATGTCAAATCACAGCTCAGATTGGCTTAATTTAGCTAGTGATGGCTACCAAGACACACACACACACACACACCCCTCCTCCACATACATCAACAAGTAATTTTATAACACACATGGAAGTTTAGTTATTTGGGAGAATAAAAGGAAAAACATTTTTACATTTTGAGTGATGTATTGATTTATATATTAATTTATATTACCAAATGATTGATAAAATACTTCAGACATCATCACTGAATAAAACTCCAAAGCACAACTCTAGAATCTCACTAGGTCTTGATGGTGCATCTTACTCTCCTTCTGAGTCCCAAGGATCATTAGGCACACCTTTCACAAAAATATTAGGATCTGAACATTGATGTCTTCCTAAAAGGGAGTGGGAAGTGAAAGAGGGGGTGGGGTGGATGAGGGAAGAGTGGGAACTGTATTGTACTTTTTTTTTTTTCACACGGTTTCACTTAATGATCACAACGTGGCTATTATCTTCATTTTACAACTGACGAAAACATGAGCAGACCACGGTGGGTGGACTTCCTCCTCCTTCCATTCGTTAAAGATCACTTCCAAAGATTCCTAATTCAACTGCTACAGTTCTTTTAATTTATAATTTACCAATACATTTTCTGAGGCTGTGGCTGATATGGAACTCAGTCTAGCGGTGCACACTGTTCAGTGGCAGATAAGCAAACTCATTGATGACTTCCCTCCTGTAGACTACCTAACTTAAGCACCTAAACAATAACAGCAGGATACTACCACAAGAGCAGACGTTAACACTGCTGGAATCAAATGAAATCTATGGATCTTTGCCTCAGAAAAATGTACAACTGCATGGGGCCGGCCCGGTGGCGCAGCGGATAAGTTCACACGTTCCGCTTCTCGGCGGCCCGGGGTTCGCTGGTTCGGGTCCCGGGTGCGGACATGGCACTGCTTGGCAGCCATGCTGTGGTAGGCGTCCCACGTATAAACTAGAGGAAGATGGGCACGGATGTTAGCTCAGAGCCAGGCTTCCTCAGCAAAAAGAGAAGGACTGGCAGTAGTTAGCTGAGGGCTAATCTTCCTCAAAAAAAAAAGAAAAGAAAAGAAAAATGTACAACTGCAAACTGTTTTGCACATAATTTGTTTTCCACAAAATTTACACATAATTTCAGGGAATTCCTAGATCCCTGTAACCCATCCATGGGCCCAGGATTAAGACTCTGTTTATCAAGTTAAAGAACAGAAAGACTTCAATTTGCAAGTAACTAGACAAGCACATAAGTGGAATGTACACAGGACTGGAAGTCAGAAGTGAACATTTCTAGAACTGTGTGACCTAGGATAAATCATTTACTTTTCCAAGCCTCAATTTTATCATTGGTAAAATGAGGAACTATATTAAACAATTACCAAAGTCTCAGTTGCCTCTAAAATCTTAGAAATTACTTTATTTAGTTCTTAGTTATAAGTGAGAGACTAATCTAAGAGGCTCTTAAAAAAACAATCAGTTTTATTGAAGTATAATTTGAAGACAATAAAACTTTTAAGTGCAC